ACAAACCAGTAAGAAAACACATCTTCTCTTGCCTACTTTCTAAGAGACGATGAAGTGCCATAAACCAGGAGGCACAGTTTTTAGAAGCTGTTGATTCTGGGAAGCAGCTCTCATGGGGCAACTAATGCATTCTTGCTTAGTCTTGTGGAACACTGATGTTGAGAGATCAGTGTTAAGGAGTTGCTCTGAAAATCTCTCCTTCAAACTCTTGTCCTCTGTTAGAGGAAAAGTAAAAAGTTGTAGTTGCTATGGAAAATAATACAGTGATTCCTCAACAAAAAAATAGAATTACCATAGAATCTAGCAATTCCATTTCTGGATCTATAAACCCCCAAAATCTTGGATCTTGGAGAGACATTTACACACCCATGTTGCTGAAGCATTATTCACAAGAGCCAAAATATGGAAGCAACCCACTTGGCCAACAGGTGAATGGATAAACAAAATGTGGCTATGTACATACAGTGGAATGTTACTCAGCCTTAAAAAGGAAGGCAATTCTGACACATGCTTCAACATGAATGAACCGTGAGGACATTAAGTTAAGTGAAATGAGCCAGTGATAACATGACAGATACCATATGAGTCCACCTATGTGAGGGTATGCAGAGCAGTCAAATTCATAGAGACAGAGAGTAGAATGGGGATTGCCAAGGGCTGCAGGAAGGAGAGTTTTACTGTTTAACAGGTAGAGAGTTTCAGTTTCGCAAGATAAAAAAGTTTTGTGGATGGATGGTAATGGTTGCAAAAAACAGTGTGAGTGTACCAGTGCCACTTTAAAAATGGTAAATTTTGTGTTATATATATTTTACCGTTTAAAAAAAAACAACAACAAAAGATTAAATCGTTCAGCCAATGTTCAGGGAGAATTCCCCACTCTCTTCTACCATGTTTTAAATTTGGTACCACCTATAGTTTATCTGTTCTTTGACACAAATAGAAGGCAAAATAAATGAATACACATCGCACATGGGTATCAGTGAACTACTTGGCGACTCACCAGAGGCAGGCTTCATTTGGCAGCTCTGTGAGCACATAAATGCTCACAGCTGTGATTCCATATATATATGTATATATATATATATGAGATTTCCTAAGAAAATTTGTTTTGTGATGCTTTGGACAATAGAAATACTCCTTTAAGAAAACCCAAACAAATTCAATTATTCAGTCCCCTTTACCCACAGTTTAATAATCATTATATCAAGAAAGTCTACTTCAATGACTCTTGGTTGTGCAAAGGTCAAAGATTCTAGAGCAAGTTTAATTTCTGTAAGAGGGAAATATCACTGCCTAAGACTTTATCGTAAGTAGGACTGTCCCACAGGGAATAAAGACCCAGAACCAAAGCTATTACACCATTTCCTATCTTTATACTAACTTAAAGTTTACAAGCAATTCCAAACACATGCTTTCATCTGAACGTCGCAGGCCACTCCATGGGGTAGGGTTTTTTTTTTTTTTTTAAGATTTTATTTATTTATTTATTTTTTAAGATTTTATTATTTATTTATTTATTTATTTATTTATTATGAGATCACAAGTAGATGGAGAGGCAGGCAGAGAGAGAGAGAGAGAAGCAGGCTCCCCACTGAGCAGAGAGCCCGAAGTGGGACTCGATTCCAGGACCCTGAGATCATGACCTGAGCTGAAGGCAGCAGCTTAACCCACTGAGCACCCAAGCGCCCAATGGGGTAGGTTTTAATGGCACCAATTTTGAGGGGAACACAGAGTTTAAATGATTTGATCAAAATTACCAAGCTACTATACAGGTAGAACGTAGGTCTTTTAAGTTCAAACCCATTTTTATATTTCCCTAAACCTGAAATTTAGCTCTCCAGTCGAAGGCCTTGCTGATCTCCAGACAAGGAAACCTTTGCTGCTGGGTGCCCAATGGCCACAAAAAGGAGTGTATACAGCAGTACCTGTCACAGTAGCCCCGGGGCCTCACCTACCCCCACCCCCAAGAAGATGAGATATTACTTGATATACCCACCAGTCAGTATTCTTTGTAGGATCAAAGGAAATTATACGTGAGAACATTTTAAAAGCATAAAATAAAATGTTAAAATCATTAAAAGGCATATAGCTGTCAGGAGACTAAATTGTCATGACTCACAATCAGGAAGGTGGAGTGTGGAGGTAAGAATGTATGCAAAATGAACAAACAAATGGACCAAAGACCTGGACGTCCCCACAGTGGGCTGGAGGTAGTGACAAATCCGGTACTTTAGTGGGGCAGGAGGTGGGTTGTGGAGGCAGTGGGGGGACAAACTGGCCATTGTCCCAGAGACAATGCTGAGTCTCAGAGACCCTAAACTCTCAGGCCTTTCTTCAGTCAGACATTTCAAGATGGCCAGGAAGCATGTAGGGCAATCCTATCTATATCCCATCCACATCCTCGGATAAAGAGGCTATGGAATTGAATGGTGTATAGGCTGAATGTTACAGTACATACAATAGTCAGACACAGTGGCAACACACCCTGCTCAGTCCAAATTCTGGAGGGCTCCAGGAAAGGTTGGAGCTGAAGGATTTGCTAAGCCTAGCTACTACTTCCACTCTGGGGTTTGGCAGCCTCATGACACTGTGGGCTGTGCCTTCATTTACTCGTCCTCAAAGAGTGGTTGAGAGGCCTGGATGGGAGTTGGCAGGGGCATGGAGGGAAGGCTTTGGAGCCCGTTGTCTGGTATTTGGGAGCTGGGTACAGAAACGGAGAGCAATGGGGGCACTGTGAGCCTTTCAGTCTCACATTTTACTTTGCTCATTCATCCAATCTGCAAATATTTATTGAGTGTCAACTCTAAGTGTTCTTAGTACTGGCAAAGCAATGCTGGATCAGAGAGCAAGGTCCTTCCTTCAGGACACTGACATCCTGGTGGGAAAAGACAGAAAATGAACTAAGCACTTACAATGTCATAGTAAGTGCTTTGAAGAAAAAAGCCAGGAAGTGTGACTAAGAGTGCTGTAGGAACACAATGAGCATGAGAAGATAGCATTTACGCAGAGACCCAAATGTCAGATGACAAGAAGAAAAAGAGATAGAGGAAAGCTTCCCGGGTAGAGTTAACAGCATATGCAAAGGCCCCGAGGTGGGAACAAGCCTCACCTGCTGGAGGGAAGACTCAAGAAAAGAATACTATGAGCTGTGAGGGCAGCCAGAGAGCTAACCAGATTAGTTAGGGCCTTTCAGGTCATGATAAGAAGTCTGGATTTTATGCTCAGTGATATGAAAATTCACTGTGGCACAAAGGAGTGACATGTCTAATTTATGTTTTCGGATGAGTCTGGCCTGATAGATCATAAAGCAGGTAAGAAACCCCTGAAATTCTCTATTAGAATCTTCCATTTTAATACATTTCCCATTAAAACCAAGAGGGACCATGGCTTAATTGGTATTGAAGTGTACACCAGTATCACTTTAACAGGAATCCCCAGAATGAGAGAAATATGGAGGATCAGGAGACAGGAAAGATGACAATAAGGGAGGGAGGATGGCAGTCATCTACCTCTGGTGCCTCCCAGGCTCATCTTCACAACTCTTCATAACTTATCCCTACAATTGGGAGCTGATATCCTGAGCCACTTGGCTTCTGTGCCCGGTTCCTCGTCCCTGATCTGAAGGGCACCTGTGAGAGCTGCAGAGGATAGCCACTTGCCTGTGGACCCTCATCTTCTGGCCTGTGCCAAGAGGCCACCCTTCCAGCTTCTACAGCTCTTGGGCTATCTGGGAAAGAGCATAGGCAAGAACCCTGAGGGGTGTCAGTTTGTAGCCTGTACCTTTCCAGTGTTCTGCTAAAAACTGGCTTGTCTAGGTCCTGCCAGGCATACCTGAACGATAGATGAGAGGAAAGGGCCTCTCCTTGATTCCTTTCTTCTCCTTCCTTTAACTATCCAATGCTGAATCATTCCTCAGTGACCTTAGGTATTTCTGACTTACATCCAGGTCCAGCAAGCTGTAAAGTTACACAATACTACCAGATCAAGGCAAGTTTTTGCTTCCCCTAAGGAGGGTCAACAAATTGCCTAAAGAAATAAAAACCGTCATGGTACCCTTGCTGCAGTCTGTCTTACTAAGTAGATGGTACAAGGATCACAATCACTTCCAATCTTGAGTCAGTCAAATACCTTTAACATTCTGGGAGAGAAGAAGAACCAAACATATCCTATTAGTTTAAAACCAAGAATAGGCAGGGGTAAGAATATAAAAAAAAAAAGAAAGAAAGAAAGAAAAAGAAAAACTATCAGGAACAAAATGGCGGCTAGATGCTTCTAGAGCGTTGGATCTATTTGCTTTTTCAAAAGGACTGGTAGGGAAGAGAAAGGGTAGCTTCTGTGTCTCACATCACGCTCCCTCACTCCACCCCCAAAAGGATGGGGAGGAGAGTAGGGAGAAAATCACTGGCATCCATGAACCCCGAAGAGAAAGCATCCAACCATTGTTTCAAAAGCTATTTCAATCAGAACACACTAACAATTTCTTACTTTTTGTTAGACTGCTCACTTAAAAATCAGTGTATACGAGGCCTAAAGGCATATTCAAACTCATACAGTCCAAATCACTTCACTGATGAAGAGTCAAGCACAGAAGGTTTTCAGATAGTACAAGGACCAGGAAGGGAACCCGAGTCTCCTGACTCATGTTCCCTGTAACTTTTATTTATAAAATAAAAGCACATTATAGGAAAACAGGAACTGCACAGGAAATCACCAGTAATCTAATCATCATACTAACCACTATTAGCATTTTGTTCCTTCTATCACATGCTTATAGGTGTCCCTATATGTTATATGAATATATATATGAATATGTTATAATCATATTGGACTAATGTTCCCTCTAGTACACAGGCTGTTTTCATAATCAAAAAATATATAACAGCAACTATTACTAGGGCTTGGAATTCACATCCTTTTTATGGAGTGTTTAATCAACTCTCATGAGACCCTGGGACAGAAGAATCGAGCTGCTTAACCTCAGATCAGCTCTATTTACCTACCTGGTGCATCAGGTACTTGAAGAGGAATGAAAGGATCAGAAACACTTAGAAGTGGAAGGCTAGAATCCACAGTCTGCCCACCCTTCCTTTTTTCAGCTGGAGTTGGTTGGAGGGGAAGAAAGGATCAAGGAGAGAAAAAAAGAGAAAAGCAGAAAACATCAAGTAAATCTAGATGAATTTAGCATCTAGTAACCCAACAGCTCAAATTATAGAGTAAATCTGAACTCAAAGGCAAAGGCAGCGTAAAGAGGGATGAGCGACTATAATCCAGTGTAATGGCAAAATATGTGTAAGAGATACAACCCGGTCCCTGCAACATACTCAGAGATGCAATCGATGGTAACACTAGTTTACTCCTACACCTGAGTTCACTTCTTCCTTGTGTGGAAGCCTGCAGTGATGTCTTCCAGAATTCCTATAGTAACTATTGTCTGTATCACACACTATGGCATGTAAACAAACACTGTCTGCTCTGTAATCAAACACAGACGTATAGATGCTTCAGTGTGTCCTCTACCATCCTGGGGTCACTGTATCACCAAATGTCTATTACAGCTCTAGGCAGACAGAAACAGAAATAGGAGTCTTGTCTGTTGCAAGGTTAGACAAGCCCTAACTTCTGGACTACATCTAACATCAGTGACACTCATTCTATACTTGGCAAACTTGCTGATGTACAGAGATCTAAACACCCTGTGGGATATCAGGACTTGAAGGGGTCTTGGGATTTTCTAGCACTGTTTTCTTATTTTACGGAGAAGAAAATGAAGCCCAGAAGTTAAGAGGCTAGCCAGATGTCTGCCACCAAACCTGAGGTCAGAACCCAGGCTTGCTGGTTTTCTATTTACCCAGTCTTTACATTGTATTTTATTTTATTTTTTAAAGATTTTATTTATTTATTTGACAGGCAGAGATCACAAGTAGGCAGAGAGGCAGGCAGAGAGAGGAAGGGAAGCAGGCTCCCCGCTGTGCAGAGAGCCCGACGTGGGGCTCGATCCCAGGACCCTGGGATCATGACCTGAGCCGAAGGCAGCGGCTTAACCCACTGAGCCACCCAGGTGCCCCATACATTGTATTTTAATACTCATTTGTTCTTTAGTTGAAATCTCATTTTACCTTCTATAGATTTTTTAAAAACTTTTTATTTTTAAATAATTATGAGATCACAGCAATCTGCTCTACATAGAGTCCTGGGAACCTTTGACCAGCTTCCCTCCATGGTTAGATATTTTCCCCCTAAAGGACCGTATCGCTGACACTGTTACAACACTGTTAACTAGACTTTATCCAGTTTTCACAGGCACTCACGTGTGTGTGTGTGTGTGTAGTTCTTTGCAATCAGATCCTATGTATAGGTTAGCACAAGCACCACCATGACAATGACACAGAATTGTTCCATCAAACCAAAGAACCCCCCCTGTTGTTCTCCTTTATAATCATACCCACTCCTTACTCCAGTCCCTACTCCCTTAGAATCCACTAACTTGTTCTCAATCTCTACAATTTTGTCATTTTGAGAAGGTTATTTATTAAAGTGGGTTTTTAATGAAGCTTCTTTAAAGATAGATGGAGGAAGAGAAGGGTAAAATCACTGCTCTTAAAATCTCTAAAATATTTTTCAAACGAGACACAATGAAATACATTAAAAGAAAAAGAAAGAAACATAAAACTGGATATATTCATTTTTACAGAAATATATACAGAAATAAAATTATGGACATAAATACTGTAAAATGTCGGCAATGTTTTCCTCTCTGACTGGGTGGGATTGTGAGTTCTCTTATCTTGTTTCTTTGGGTTTTTAGTCATTCTTCCAAAATTACACAAAAGAATGTGTATAACAGAAAAATATTTAAAATAAAGAGGTACAATGTCAAGTTTTAAATGTCTATTCCAACATATGGACATAGTTCATCAACATTTTTGCAGCTTTTACCATAAAAATGTTTAAAATAACCCTTCTGTCATCCTCTGTGACTCATTGCCACATTTCCTGTTTATTTCCTTCCTTGATTAATCAGAAGGTTTAAAATCAGTGAACAGTCTGAGCTTGATTAGAAAACTCCTAGAAAATGAAGCTATCCTATACTTCATACAAATGAGGACATATTAATTTCTGGGATTTGGATGTGATTTTCTTTCATTTATAAAAAATAAAAGTATTGCACACACAAAAGTTTATACCACAAACAAGAAAGAAGGAAAAATACCAAATGTCTGTTTAAAAAAAGGCTGGATAAGATGAAAAAAATCGGAAGATGTTTTATAATGTTCAAAAAAGTGTCATGTCACTGATTTACAAAGACTCTTGGGATGTGGTATGACTACAGCTTCTGAACTGGGCTGCTCAGGTACAACTCTCTATTCTGTCATTCTCCAGTTGTGACCTCGGCGGGTCACTTAACCTCTCAAGGGCTGTTTTTTGTTTTTTTGGTGGTGTTTTTTTTTTTTTTTAAGATTTTTTTATTTGAGAGAGAGGGAGAGAAAGAGCACAAGAGTGAGCACAAGGTGAGGAGGGCAGAGGGAGAAGTGGACTCCCTGCCGAGCAGGGAGCTGGATGTGGGGGATGTGGGCTCCATCCTAGCATCCTGAGGTCATGACCTGAGCCAAAGGCAGACGCTTAACCAACTGAGCACCCAGGCACCCCTTGAGGGCTGTTTTAAGGAACACTTGAGATAATGTATAAAAAAGCACTTAACCAGTGGGTTATTATTAGCATGTAGCAAGAGCTCAGTGTATGTTCACTGTTACTACTGTCATAACTACTCAAGCATAAAGGGGGAGAAGAGGCTGAAACAAAAATAAAAACTGTTTTAAGAAGAGTTACAGGGGCACGTGGACAGCACAGTCATTTGAGTGTTGGACTCCTGGTTTCCACTTGATCTTAGCCAAAAGGCTGAGAAGCGATGGACTCCTGGTTTCCTTTCAGGTCCTGGGTCTTAGGTTCATGGGATCGAGCCCTGTATCAGGCTCTGTGCTCAGTGTGGAGTCTGCTTAAGGTGCTCTCTTTCTCTCTTTCCCTCTGCCCCTCCTCCTCCCACCTTCTCTCTAAAATAAATAAATAGGGTGCCTGGGTGGCTCAGTGGGTTTAAAGCCTCTGCCTTCAGCTCAGGTCATGATCCCAGGGTCCTGGGATCGAGCCCTGCATCGGGCTCACTGCTCAGCAGGGAGCCTGCTTCCCCACCTCTCTGCCTGCCTCTCTGCCTACTTGTGATCTCTGTCTGTCAAATAAATAAATTAAATAAATAAATAAATCCTTAAAAAACCATATAGACAAACAACAAAACACGTGATAAGTAGGAATTATAAGTACTGAAACTGGGAATGTATGGAAAATGTGTAGGGACCTCTGTTAACACTGGCGAATCCAATTAATTAAATTAATAACAGTGAGATTATCATATCAAGATTTATATCATATGAAGACTTACAGGATATGATTAAAATTTCAGGTTTTTTCTGATAAGGGAAACACAAACCTATTAGAAAGTACTCTTAATCAACAGTGTAATCCTCAAAGGTCAGGGTGGGGTGGGCAATGAAAGAGAGAAGCAAAGTGAATACTGAAATATCTGTGCACAAGACTTCTAAGCAGATTATAATGAGCCTCTCTCCCCACTCTCATGCTGATTGAACATCACTGTTATAGTAGCAGAAAAACTCTAAATACTTTCAGTACATTTTTAAGAAGAACTTTTAAAATTTTACTGTGTTCCTCTTAATATTGACAAAGCAATTTAGAAATATGCACCAAAAGCCTTAGAAGACACAAATCTTTTGATTTAACAAATAATCTAGAGGTTACCTTAAAGAAACTATAAAGGATATCATACAATGACATCCAAAGTTCCAGTAAGAAATAAACTTATGATGTTAGAAAAAGTACTAGCATATCTAAGGAAGGCAGGAAGAAAAAATATGTAAGGTTATAATCAGAAATTAATAAAATTAAAAAGATCAATCTTGGAAGCATATCAAATTCCTATCTACAAGGATTATTTATACTCAAAACCTCATATCGGTTGCTGAGGGAATTTTAACAGGAAAACACTGAAACCAAATTAATGTTTAAAAAAAGAGGTTACTTAGATACATTATGACAAATCCATATGAAGTCATTTAATGCAGATCTTTCATAATTTATCTTTTAAGAGCTTCTTTAATGACGTGGAAACGAGCCAGACTTAGTAAGCAAGCAAATTTGGTTTAATAGGACTATAGAGATGTACATTAAGGTCTTAAGCTGAGTCCAAAAATTATGTACAAAATCGTAGTCATTTATTTTCGTGGGGAAGAAGATCTGTAAACTTTCATTATGTTCATGAAGATATATGTGACCCTAAAAAGGTTAAATGTCACTAACAGACACCAAATGGTACTCCTGTGCTACTTCTTAATTGTGAGATTACGGGGATTTTAACTTCCTTCTCTACACTTTTCTATAAATTGTTAACCTTTAGTGTACCTGAGGGGCTCAGTCGGTTAAATAACTAACTTTTGTGTAATAAATATGTACAATTTTCTCTCATTTTTAAGAAATTTTAGTTGAAATATAGTTGACTATGTATCATTTTTATTAATAAAGGAGAAAATTAGTTTTTTACTATTACTTCTTTAATTTAAAAAAGGTCTAATTTAAAAAGATATCTCCCTCTACCTGTAAACACACACACACGCACACGCACACACACACACGCACACACACATACACACACAGAAACAGCTCAGAAAAATCTTGGATAGAGGATAGAACATCTAATTAGAATTCTTCAAACCGTTCCAAAGATCTAAGCAATTATAAGAGATTAGCAGTGATGTTCTTAAATTCAGAAATATTTGCTTAAAGTATGTGTATGAATTAGAGAGAATAAATCCTGTATATTATTGACACGTCATTCTGTCATTTTGATTCAGAATGATTCTAGGTATTTCTTTTTCCCTACCTTTTATGTTGGAAATCTTCTGAATAAGAGAAAATATACGTTAGCACCAAGATCTGGGGCTCACTGGTGTGCCACAGCTATCTGTGGGACGGAAACTATGGAGGCAACAACTGTGAGCTCAGTGTTTCAGGTATTGGCTATACTAACCGGTTCCAGCAGAAAACGAGGGAGTGGCAAAAGCATCACCTTGAGTCGGTTGAAAGCCTGGGATCAAACTCTCAGCGGAGCCTCCAAGCTTCTCAGAATGTTTGCCTGGAGGGACAAAACACCACCGAGTTCATTCCAGCAGAACCCCATGATGCACACACACAGGCAGGAGGTGGAGGGCACCTTCTGAACTGACTTCTCGACTGGACTCCTTTTACTGCCTCAAGGCAATACCTCAGCCGTTCACAGGCCCTTGTCTAATCACTGCAGTAACTGAGACAACAGCTGAGAAAAGGAAAGAAGTTTTAAGAATCAAAGACAGCACACGGGTTTTGCAAGATGGAAGGACTTCCAGAGACTGGGTGCCCAACGATGTGTGTGTAGTTAACACTACTGAACTGTTCACTTGACAATGGTTCAAAAGTTCGTATTTATGTTATGTTTATTTATCATAATTTTTAAAAGTATTTTATTTATTTACCTGAGAGAGAGAAAGAGAGAGAGAGAGAGAGAGAGAGAGAGAGAGAGAATGAGTGGGGGAGGGTAGGCAGAGGGAGAGGGAGAACCATGCTCCCAGCGCAGTAGGAACCCAACATGGGGCTTGATCCCAGGGACCCAGGGATCATGACCTGAGCGCAAGACAGATGCTTAACCCACTAAGCCACCCAGGCATCCCTGTATATTTTTCACAATTAATTTTTCACAATTAATTTTTTTTCAAATAAATGAATAAAAAAAGCAACAAAAAAGCTAACGCCCAAAAGCTCAAGGACATTACTCAGGCAGAATGCCTCTAGTCCTTACTTGGAATCTATTTGTTTTTATAAAATACTACTGAGCTTGCCAATCTGTTTTCCATGTTGGAAATAGTTGAGGAGAGCACATGAGAAGGGGGCGCGGGGGAAACAGCAGGAGATGTGACAAGGGATAGGCACAGTGGCAGCAGTTTAACACGACAGAAGAGAGACCGGAAATTAGGAAAAACAGACATAAGAACTTTAAAACCTGGGAGTGTCTTAAGTGCAAAAATACTAGCGTTTTCAATACCCACAAAGGTATTTCTGTTTATTCTAGAACGATAAGTGGCATACATAATTTGAATGAAATAATTTGACAGTGAGATAGTTGTCTGTCAGAGTTAAATCCTATATCCTATCTTTTGTTTAAAACAATAAGTAATATAATTTTTTAAAAGATATCTATGAAATAAAGTTAAAAGAGGTGAACATAAGTTAAAAGAGTCAAGTTAAAAAAGATATGGTCGAAGTTCATATCATTCACTCAGTTCTGATCATTCCTTTACCCTGTGTTCTTGTCTAATGCCTAGGTATTCTTTTTGAAGAGTTTTCCCAGGGCGTGCTGTTGTTTTCCAAAGTGTGCATGTGTGTCTGTGTATACAAGTCCCACCTTCCAAAACAGCCTGTGGGGGGTTTTTGTTTGTTTGTTTTGTTTTGTTTTAAGAAGGCTCCATACCCAGTGTGGCGTCCAGTGTAGGGCTTGAACTCATGACCCTGAGATCAAGACCTGAACTGAGATCAAGAGTTGGACACTTAACCTACCAGTGCTCCTCGACTCTGGGTTTTTGAGAGTAGAAATGGTACCTTCAATTTGATCACCTCTTCACAGTCCATCAACAGTACTACAGAACTCTGACCACAGTCAAAGATTCTAAGTTCATGTGAGGGCACACTCTCTCCTGCATAAGCAGTTACAGCCTTCTGGGACAATAAACACACAAGGAACGACCATGCTTGTCAGTATCATCCTGGTTTATGCCACCAAATCTTTCCTAAAAGTGTCCCACTCTCCTTACCACCACCCACAACAGGCCAGGAGTTCCTATGGATGAAAAGATGTCAGTACTCTGGTAAACATTCAAAGCAGTTTTCACTTAAACTTCAGATCAAGACTTTGAGGGGAGGAAAGACCTAACCCTACATTTTCAAACACATACTCCTCTAAAGTCAGGGTTTAAGAATCACAGAAGGGCACCCATTGCTCACCTTCCCCCAGCTTGGCAAAGTCCTTGTTTAGCAGTTCCTCAGCTGTGAGTTTGGAGAAATTGTCATCATCGAAGGGATTCCACGTAGAACCTTCTGAAGCATTATAAACGTTTTGCTGGGAGGTCCGAGGAGAGCCTGATGGAGTGGTGGTTGCAGACCTATGTAGGTTCCCACCCCCACGAAATGAAAAGAGTTGACAAAGGGTTAATCTACTTTCTCTTTGTTTTGAGGTCAAATTGTTTTCTGAGTCAAACCATTCTTCTCTGCAATAGTTTTCTGAAAGGGCTTTCCATGGCAACTGGACAGTTTCCACAGATAAATTTTATCACCGTGTGAAATAAATGTCTCCCTTTCCTTCATGATCCACTGTCTCCCACTACTTCTTTAACCTCTTGCTTATATTTTTGGTCTCCTCTGCCAGTCCTTTCACAATCCAGAATCCCAAAGCGACCTGTTCCGAGGCTTGCGCCTCCTGTGGCCCCCGCCATAACAGCCACAATGACTGCCCCCAGGCTGGCTGGGACTGAAGGCTTTTCAGGCTGCCTCCCATCTGTCAGGATCTAGCACACAGAGAATGAAGGGCTGCCGTGAGCAATCACCATCAAAGTTAAGGAGAAATAAAGACAGTTAGCAATATCTTGTGTTTCTGGGTATCATTGCCTAATTTTCTTCTAAAGTCTCTCTTGATGCCATTTGCATTTAACTAACGACTTCAAGAGTTTTACTTTAGAGTCCATGGTTCCAAGAAAGCTGAGAGTCCAAAAGTGCATTCACCTAGCAAGCACTCATTGCAATCCACTTTACTTCAGGCACAGAGCCCATCACTAGATTTACAATGGTTAAGACACGGTCCTCGTCTTGGCGGAACCTGCAGGCCAGGTCAGCTGGATACACAAATAAATAATGATAATATAACGGGATACATCTCCAAAAAGGTTCAGATAATTTATATATGACACCCAAGGGGTCAGAGAAAAGGGAACCTCTGACATCGATTTTGATGAATAAATAAGCATTTCCTAGGTGGACAAGGAGAGCGGTAGTTCACGGAGAGGGCACAGGATGAACAATGTGGCCACAAAGACAGAGAATGACACATCCGCCAATGTGATACAACAGTCTTCGGTCTGTTAACCAATGAGTTCAGTATTATCCCACTGGCAATGGGGAGCCAAGGAAAGATCTTTATCATGGAGAGGGTTGGTCAGACTAAGATTTTAAAAAATACTCTGTGGAACATGGAATGGATGAGAGAATGGAAACAGTAAAGCAAGTAAGAAATTATTTCTGAAGATCAGTATGGTCTATGTACTACAGGCAAATTCAGTTTCTGAATGAACACAGACACAGACATACCTTTACATACATATACCTGTGCCCCTCTACATACAGATGCAGGGAATTACAGAGCAGTGGCCCACAACAGCCCTAGCCCACACAAGTGAAAAAGAGAAAGGGGAAGCACCACATACTTGGACTTATTGAGGCTGGCTTCAGCTGCAGCTGCCTGGAGCAGCTGGGTGGATTTGCTGGCAGGGACCCCAAAGACGGCACTGTGGGTCACGTCACTGAGAATCCGCCTGTGCCCAGCACGCTGGGTTTTGGGGGACGAGGGAGGAGTGAGAGATCCGAGTTTCTGCCCCTGGACGGTCGGAGGTGGGGTTGTTTGCACCTTTGGCTGTTGTCTTACTGGGGCTTGAATCTGCTAGGAAAAAAAAAGAAATGGCAAGTGTTTCAAAAAGAAGGGAAAGGAAAAACAAACAGACAAGCATAATAAAAAATGCCACATGACAGCTAACACGGGACTCAAGTGGCTGAATTTACCAAGAGCACCAAGAAAGAAAAAAAGCAGTTTTGGACAATCTGAGCTCTAGCTGTGGGACTGACGGCATGGTATTTATCTGATGCTTAGACATAAATTTCCATCTTCATCAGCAATCCTCTACAGAGCAGCCATACACAATACAGCCCAGAGCATAAGGCTGCAGAAGCTAGTCCTCATCCCCAAAACCAAGAATGTATCCTACAGGACCACCTTCTGCTTCTGGGGTCACGCAGGAACTCATTCAGAATGCCTCCAAAGAGCATGCTTTAAGCAATCTACCACCACAGTCAGAAGCCAATGAAGGCACAGCTCCAGCTAAAACACATTTGAGCTGAATAATTTCTGCCAAGAGATCCCTGACTCTGACAGAGCTCAGACTACTGGTTAGGAATAAGTTAGAATTCCACTGTGATTCATAAATGGTAATGTTTTTGTTTTGTTTTGTTATTAAGGCTCTTTATTTCACTATTAAGGTGGGTCTACAAGGTTTTCTTTCTGTGGCTCCCCTGAGAAAATGTACAGGATTGGAGCAGAGGGATTAATTTGTTCCCACCTTTAGTTTGGAAATGGCACGGAAGAACAAGGTAGAGAATATAGTAAGAATAAGAAAAAATTGGAAAAGCCCTTGATGACAATTGATCTAGTAACACAAGGACTCTTCAGAAGGCAGAACAAACTGTCACCACAGAAAAACAAATAGGAACATCCTATGGCCACGTGGTTAGACCTCAAGCATCAGATACAATCTACAAAGTGCTACGTCAAGAAGATGAACAAAAAATAGCACTAAGAAGGCCACCTAATGCTTTAACTCTGTCAGTCCAGAGACAAAATGATTCAGAATATTAAAGGACTCAGGTATTGAACTATCCCTTCCCTCCAGTCCCTTGTTTCAGACTAAGATGTCCCTCCATGCTGCAGCTCAGCCCTCACATTCAGTGCCTTCGTAGGTAATCCTGAGAGAGAAGGGAAACCAGAGGGGCCAGCTACTTGGGTCAGGATGCTGACAGCCTGAGATTTTGTCCCCATATTGACGCAGACTCTGAATTAGACTGAGGCAGGTTTATATGCATGTATGAGTACACAAGCACTCACCAACTGAATGACACAGAAGAAGCCTCTAACATCAGTCAGGTTAAGGTCAGAGGGAAAAGCAGCTGACACATCTCTGAGGGAGAAGCAGTCTGTTCTGGGAAGACCAGAGCTCCGGCTCCACAACTTCCAGTGGCCCAGGGCTGTACCTACAACAGTCAACCTAGAACCAGTACCCACAGAGACCACCATGGCTTTATGGACAGAACAAGATTAGCTAATTTCCTCGAGTCTGAGACAGTCATTGCTTTGAGAAGGATATACTTCACTGCTGAGTTCCTTTATTTTGAAGAGTCCAGACTACTTGGAGAACATTTCCCTTCTTCTTACCTATCCCCGTAGGCAGCATAGTGAAGAGCAGACACTTCAGGAGGATACCTTACGCTATCACAGCTATCTACTAATACAAAACCACTCCAATCCGTTCAGCTACTCCTCACAACAGCTCCATCAGGCAGACAGTTTTATTTCCATTCCAAATCTAAGAATACGAGAGACAAAGGGACCTTAGCACAGATTCCAACTCCCTCATTTCAGAGGAGCTTCTTCTTCACCATCTATGTCTCCTCCAAAGATGGGATTAGGAAGGGGAAGGGGGAAACAGACAAAGCATAGTGGAGAGAGAATCAAAGTAGACTCAGATGTCTGTCTTGCTAGAGATTGTTTTAAAGAACAAAAATATGTAATTATAAAAGGAGTACACTCAGATCCAGGAATGCAACAATATACACAAAAGGGGGGAGGGAACCACCCAGACTTCCATCCCACTATCCAAATACAACTGTTTTTATCTTTTGGGAATCTTCTATTTAAGTCCCTTTCCAAGTACATACTTTTCCCATAATTTCAATATTATCTCATGACCGTTTCACATTGTTGTACAGATGCTATAACCATGATTTGTAATGGCTGCACAGCTGGCTTCTTAAACAATTAGGTTACTTTGATTCTTTTGGCTGTTACTAATAAGTCTATAATAAACATTATGGCATATTACCATTTTCCTTTTGTAGATTACTGCTTTAGGATGGCTGCAGAGTATTCTCTCTTTTTTTTTAAAGATTTTATTTATTTGACAGAGAGAGAGAGAGACAGACAGACAGACAGCAAAAGAGGGAATACAAGCTGGGGAAGCGGGAGAGGGAGAAGCAGGAAGCTGGATGAGGGGCTCGATCCCAGGACGCTGAGATCGTGACCTGAGCTGAAGGCAGACGCTTAACTGACTGAGCCACCCAGGCGCACCCAGAGTATTTTTTTTTTTTTTAAGATTTTATTTATTTATTTGACAGATGGAGATCACAAGTAGGCAGAGAGGCAGGCAGAGAGAGGAGGAAGCAGGCTCCCCGCTGAGCAGAGAGCCCGATGCGGAGCTCGATCCCAGGACCCTGGGATCATGACCTGAGCCGAAGGCAGAGTCTAAACCACTGAGCCACCCAGGCGCCCCCAGAGTATTCTTTACACTCACTCACTTGCTCCTCTAGGTAAGTCCTGACAAGGGTCACCAGAGAAAAGGATGGGTCAAATCTGGGAAGCTCTCTGACTCCTGGCAGAAGCAAGTTCTGCTCCTGTTCTTTCTCTATCCCCTCAACCAACTACCCCAGAGCGAAGTGCTCAAGGTACGTTTTTAGCCAAGGAACATCGAGAAGGTTTATAATTCATTCCCGAGAGAGGGACAGCAAAGGGGAACATCATAAGAAATGTAGTCAGTTACTGTTGATCATTTCGTCCCCCTGGATGACCATTTGTTATTATTAGCCTTAAACACAGATCAGGATTCTTTGGTTCTTTCCTCAGCTCTGCTATCAGTCTGTGTGTCTTGGGTAATCCCTTTCTAGCCTGGGTCTAGTTTCCAGCTCCAGTAAATGAGGAGAGGGAGAAGCAGGCTTCCCGCTGAGCAGGGAGCCCGATGCACGGCTCTCTATTCCAGAACCCTGCAATTATGACCTGAGCCAAAGGCAGACGCCTAATGTCTGAGCCACCCAGGTGCCCCTACAATAATTTTTTTTAAAAACTCCATTAACAAGAAGAACTTCAGTTCGTATTAAAAATAGAGAAAGTGGCTGTCTACCACACGCCTGCAGGAAGACTGAGTTGTTTCAGAAACGAAGGTGTAAACTGACACAAACTAAGCTGAGGCTCAAAGAAGACAATCTATTTACAGCAATGCTTCCTTTTGAAAGCATGGTTTTCCGGTTTAAGATCGGTGACAAAACTCTATTAGAAATCAATCCTCAGAAAGACGGTTTCTTACTTTTCCTTCATTTGTCTAGTAGCTGGACTTCCCTGGGAATGAGAGAGTAGCTGTGATACTCTATTGGCTGGATATGTACGATGCCTTTTTCTATCACTAGAATGTTTTCTTCACAATCACTCAGAAATATGTGAGTACAGAATTAAGAGCACATGGTAGAGGAAAAACACATCGTGCCTGAGGTTGCTGAAGCTGTAAAGATCAATCAGGAGAGGAGGAAGGAGTTCTGACGCTGTAGTCAACCAGTATCTAGAAGTGGACCTGCCCAACTTCTAAACCAACAAGATGGCTCCCGCAGTACTCAGGTGCTCTGGTGCCCAGAGGATTGGGTCATGGTAAATGGTCCCACCAAGGAGGCCCCTCAAGGCCGCTACATGGTAGACTTAGATGAGGTCATGTTGCCGAAGACCAAGAATAAGTAAAGCCCTATCAGGCGTCAGGGGAGGCCACGCAAACCTCCAGAGACTGGGGGGCCACAGTGGTCAAACCCCCCCTTCAAGGGAAAGGGATTCACTCTGATCCTACCTGGGTCCTTGACTGACCTACGCGGGCACCAACACAGACAGCAAACAGCTCTTTCTGCCAGTCTAATTTTAGAGTGATAAATAAGAATGTTTCTCTTCATCAGGAGCCTAGAATCGTTTTTGTTAAACCTCTTACCTTCTACAGAATACCTCCTCCTGACCTCAGGCATAACAACAGAACAAAAATCAAGTATTTTAACCACAAGCCTGGGGCAGCTGCCTCTCCCTAACGCAGGGGCCCTGCCCTCTGGTGGGCCCGCCCGCTGCTCTCTCCTGCTTGGGGACTCAGAGCCCTGGCCGGCTGTTACCGCCCGCTCCGCGGGCGCCTGCGGGGCTGCAGCGGGGGGCGCCTGGGGCTGCTGTCCTGCTGCCGCCACCACCGCCGTGGTCTTCTGCTGCAAGGCGGCCTGCTGAGTCAGCAGCAGTTGTTGGTGCAAGCTCAAGGCCAGCTGCTGCTGCTGCTGCGGCAGCTGCGGCTGGGGCTGGGGCTGGTAGAAGTTCTGCATCAGCTGCGGCTGAGAGCTTCCTTGCGACACCACCGGGAACTGGGTGATGGCTGGTTGCTGGGCGGCTGTGTGCACTGCCTGAAACTGAGCAGGAGAAGTGGCAAAAAGGACGAGGGGAACAGAGTGTCTCAGAACCACTGAGACCACAAAAGACCAATGTCTCAGGAATAACCGAGCCCAGTCTGAAGCCAAAAGCAAGGGCAGGCAGAAGTCTCTTAGCTTGGCCTCAATTTAGGAGGGGGACCTCAGGGCATTAAAATTAACCCCACAGCACCTGACACTGCCAGGCTGCATCGAGGGCGCTGGGCCACCTCCTGGCTTTGGGGAGTTTCTCTGGCAAGCCTAAGGGCGTCCCTTTGTGCATTTTGTGACTCCCCGTGCTGGGGTGTAAGGGAAGCTAATGAACGATCTCCCAATCCCAGAAGTAATCCTGCTTGTAAAGGGATTTGTTAGCAGCCAAGATTAAAATGCTTTGCTCCATGAACAGGATGAAGCAGGGACGACACTGAAAATAACCTAAACGCTAAACCAGCTATAAAGACTCTGTTCGAGCCCTGCTGAAAATTATTTCCCTATAGCTCTATCTTACTAACTGTCCCATCTTTAAACATTCAAAATGTTCAGTATCCTCTAGCACACTTACTGGTATTTTATCCTGTGTCTATAACTGATTCTTTCAAGTTATATTCTCTTATAAACTGCCAATGGATAGGGATACTTCTTACCCATTTGTCTATTCCACACTGCTAAGGGCTATGGGACACACACACACGCCCCAAAGAAGCGCCTACTAATCAACAAAAGTCAAGAACTTGGCTTTGAGCATCCCAAACACTGTTACTTAGTTGTAGAGTTAGGGGATTGGATAAGGTTTGCCTCCTGGGGCAAAAGTTAAAGGGTTAGCAAAGAAGCAGATGTCAGCAAGTAGCTGCCTATTTATAACTGCAAAATGCTGGAAATGACCAAATGTTTATCAACAGGGGACACTGATTGAATTAACCATGCTATGTATCCTTAAAATAGAATGCTCTCAAGTTGTAAACAGGCATGAGGGCTCCCTCTATATTATGGGATGGAGAGAGCAGAATTCTGTAACTTTGAAACTGTAAACGTTTTATATTTTCATACAACAAAATTCACCCAAAATTTGGCAATAACTACAAATCAAAAGCAAAATGAAACAAATAAACCTGTGTATCAAACTGATTCCAGAAAATAATGAGCAAAACATTTTAAGAATGAAAAGGACAAAGAAATCTTAAACTGGGGCACCTGGGTGGCTCAGTTGGTTAAGTCTCTGCCTGTAGCTCAGGTCATGATCCCGGAGTCCCAGGATCGAGTCCAACATCAGGCTCTCTGCTCAACGGGGAGTCTGCTTCTCCCTCTGAACCTCTCTCCTCTCCTGCGCAAGCACTCTCTCTTTCACTCTCTCTCAAATAAATAAATAAATAAATAAATAGAATCTTTAAAAAGAGAGAGAGAGAGAAATCTCAAACTGTTTCCAGTACTTGTGTTGGCACTATTATCTTGAAATTATAAAGCAATTAAGTGATTATGTTAATGTTGCTAGGAATCAAGATCTTCAGATCAGAAAAATACAAATATAAAATCCAAGGAGTTAAGCAAAAATCCTATAATTACAATTCTGAATTAAGAATATGAATTTGCGTCCACTCGGACCCGGTGTCGCAGCTCAGGAGCTCCAGCCTGGGAGGATGGTGTGCATTCCTTGCATCGTCATTCCGATTCTGCTCTGGATCTACAAAAAATTCCTGGAGCCCTACATATACCCTCTGATTTCCCCCTTTGTGAGTCGTATGTGGCCTAAGAAAGCTCTTCGAGAATCCCACGATAAAAACAAAGGCAAGGTAGACTGTAAGGGCCAGACATAAATGGATTACCAACAAAAGGTCCGACGGAAATCTCTGATAAAAAGAAAGACTAAAGTGATCCAAAGGATCTCATTGTTTTAAAAATGGACCTGATAATATGAAGCACCTTACTTGCAATTGTCTCTGACCTTTTTCTCTCTGAGACCAGAATTTGGAATAGATAGCTTAGATACTCATCTGATACTAATCAGGAAATACATGATATTTATATTTTAAAAGTATTTAGTTATATTTAATGATCTCATTCCCGAGTTCCTATTTCATTAAAGTAGCTTCCATTTCTATTATCGCAGTTATGAATAAATAGAAGGTTTGTGCCAGTAGACACTGCTACTAAACCAGTACTCAGAAATCCTTTTGTTCAGGCTCTTTGAATTTGAGCAAAGTATAGTGTTACTGTGAAACAGTGCAGTGAGACTGTATGGTGAAAGGAGGGGGTTTGGGGACATGATGAGGACTTCAAACATGAAAATATAATTACTGTCCAGTGGAACGGAGCAGCCTACTTCTGATAGTAATTCCTGCTTATTGCTCTGAGGAAAATAGAAAAGACGGGGAAATTGGGAAAACGCCTTTGAAAAATGGAATACCTTTTACAAAAATATCTAATGTATATTATAAAATTCTAATCCTTGTTGCATTCCTTCTGTTCTCACAAAGTATATTAAATATTCAGTTTAGTTTGTGGTTCTTTTTTCAAAAAAAAAAAAAAAAAGAATATGAATTTGCATTCATTGTGTATATTCTGTTAACAAAACAAAAGAAACAAAATATATTTCCCAAGTATCCACTCAAAGGCCTAAAAACAATAACTGACCCATTAGCAAAGGAGTATCCTTAGCATCAAAATGTGGTCTCTAAATACCATTTTTAAAAGGAAAGGGAGCTCCTTCAGAGAGATGGCTGTATCCAGGTCAAGGGCAGAGTGAGACTGGAATGACCTGTTACAATAAACAGCAAGGAAACCACCAAAGGACCCAGGAACCGGCCTAAAGAGACTTCTACTGGCCAAAGCTGGGTCAATTTAGGCATCAAAATAAAATTTTTAAAACGGCAATGTCTAGGGACACCTGGGTGGCTCAGTTGGTTAAGCAGCTACCTTCGGCTCAGGTCATGATCCCAGAGTCCTGGGATCGAGTCCCACATCAGGCTCCTTGCTCATCAGGGAGCCTGCTTCTCCCTCTGCCTCTGCCTGCCATTCTGTCTGCCTGTGCTCTCTCTCTCTCTCTCTGGCAAATAAATAAATAAAATCTTAAAAAAAAAAAATTTAAAACGGCAATGTCTAGAAACATAAATATGTTTAAATCCCTGAATTCATGACACTAAAACAAAACAAATCAAAAACCTCTGTTCACCTTTAGATGACACTAGAAACAAACCCACTCTGAAAACTGGTAAACACAGGCAAAAACTCAAGCATTTTTTCTTGCCTTTTCTATATAAACAGTATGTCAGGGTCAGCAAATAGTTGAGAAAAAGTCTACTCAGAAAAATTCCAGCCCCTAAGTGAAGAGGGAATGTTAGAATATCACCATGTTTCCATGCCTGATAAATGAATGGACTGAGGAAATGATTAGCAGTTGCTGCTAAACTGATCTGGAACACTGAATGAATGGATCAGACAGACAATACCAAACTCACGGACTGATTTTAATATTGATAAAAGAGAGCGACAACCAGACCCTATACGCCTCCTGAAGAGATGCAACTGGAAGAACAAAGAACTATCCAACTGAACCAAATTTTGAGCAAGCCTCAAAAAATCACCAGTTTACACAGGGGATGGAAGAACATATTATATGGCCGCAGGGACGCAATCAGCCAAATCCAGAAGGTGGAAAATTCTACAGGACAACTGACCCAGTTTCTTCAAAAAATTAAATGGCAAAGGGAAAAAAAAGGGAGAGGGCATTATGAATAAAAGGGGACTTGAAAGATATGTCAATCATTATAAAATGAATTATGCTCATAGTAAAAAATGTAGAAAAACTATGAAAAGATAATGGGAGAAAAAAGATTTGCATCTAAACATAACATGTGGGCCTTGTTTGGAACTTGATTCGAACAAGCCAAGTGAAATTAGGAGACATCAGGAAGTTAAACATTACTGGGTATTTTTTAAGAAAAAGAAATTATTATTTTTAGTATGGTAATGGTGCAATTGTGTTAGGGGAAAAAAAAAAGACAGAGAGCTAGAGAGAAAAGAAAAGGAGCCCCTTAAAACAGCTCCCTTGGTGAGGCTCCTCCATCAGCTGAAGAATTCCCCATGGCCCAAGAAAGGGGTGTGAGTGGCCCCATGATGCATCCGCTCTGCACAGCTTTCTGGTATTTCGTTCTGGAAGAAGCAATGATGCGATGTCTAGTGGCTCCCTGTCTTCCGGGTGCTTCTCAAGAAAGATGCCTACGTCTCCTGGGCCTGTCCACAGCGCCACCTCAGTTGGGTCAAGCAAGGGTCAGACTGAACGCTTTACCTGTTGAGCCTGGGCTTGCTGCTGCTGCTGCTGCTGCTGCTGCTGCTGCTGGTAAAACGTGCCCGCGGGCTGCTGGGGAGGTGCCGGCTGCTGCTGGGGTGGTGGCTGCTGCTGTGGCGGCTGCTGTGGCTGCTGCGGCTGCTGCGGTTGCTGCTGCGGCTGCTGCTGCTGCTGCTGGGGCTGCTGCGGCTGCTGCTTGAGGAAGAGTTGCTGCTGGTGCTGGGGTGTGGCCTGGGCTGGAGTGGGCAGAGCCTGGGCTGGAGTGGGCTGTGCCTGCTGTGGGGTGGGTGGAGCCTGCGGCTGCTTGGGCTGAGGCTGTGGTAGAGGCTGGCTGGGTGGGGGCTGGGTTTTTGGTTGGGGAACACTGGCTAAAAGGCCAGGCTGATTGCTGGATCCTGTAATGAGAATAAACTCCATATAAGGGCTCCAAACTCTTCCAGACAAAAATGCTTTGCTTTCTCTTGCCAAAGAAATAGAGAGGGGGGTGATAAGCAGACAGATAATCCCAAGATCCATGTGCCTCCGTCTTTCCATCTTCGTGCTGAACTACGTGCTTAGTGTTTTTCAAAACAAGGTTCAGGGACAAGGTTCAGTGCTTGCCTCCTTTAGAAAGCCTTCCCTTATTCACCATACCATCTGTCAATTACTCCTTTAGTCACCACCCGAGTCCATATTCAACTGGCCTTTGATGCTACTGTATTCAAATACAATCTTTTCACTTAAAAGCTTCGGGACAAAAGCCTTCTTTGATATTTTACACGTAAGTTACACAAACCCAGTCTAGATGCCTGCCTATGAGTAGATGACCACCAAATTCACCAAAAGCAGCTTCCTGGTAGGGGAAGTGATGACTAAGGTCCGTTACTGGATAATTTAAGTCCTCTAAACTAAATCATCTCATTAGAACCAGAATACCAAAACACGGAGTGGAAACAGATACTCTAAGTAGACAGAGCATTAAAGAAACAACGCCTCTGTGTCAAAACAGAAGAGAGTCTTGTTTCTTTCAAGGCCAAGAGAAGAAAATGAAATAAACATGAAAGCATGGGATGAATGGACCAAGCCAGAAAATCGGGGCCAAGACTAGAAAAAATAGAGGTTTCACGCTTCAGTGGTCTTGGAGGTCCCCCGCAGAATCCAGTGAGAGGACTCCCCTTTTGCCAGCCACGTGCCATATAATTTCAATGTGCGCTCACCCCCTGTGCTCAAGGCAAACCATTATTCCTCATGTGCCTCTGGATTCCATTTCTGAAGCAAAAGTAGTCTTCCCGAGACTTCCGTTACGGACCGGGATAACCAAGAGGTGTACCAAATTTCAAACCGAGTTACTGACCTGCAGCCTGGGGTGGGGGCTGAACCGTGGCCCTCTTTCGAGGCGTCAGGGCTGGCTGGATAGGAAGGATCCCTGGGTTTGGCTGAGTCTGCCCAGCCTTAGGCCTCTGCCGGGGTGCAATTGAAGTCTCTGTTGTGGGAATGGGATCTGTCAGTCTAGAAAAGGAAGGGGGGGGGGGACACAGATTCACATTAACGTGGGGAGAGTGGGAGAGGAGCAGACAGAGCACTTGATGGACTGGCTTTCCCCTCCACACTCATCCAAACCTTCCAGATCGGCTTAATCGACATTTGTCAAAGGGTATTCCACAGGATGTTATGTATTACTCGATGTTACGAAACAAGGGCTGGTGGGAAAGAAGCTTAACACACTAATCAAAATACATCGAGCAGATTTCTTTCCAGCAGAACTTTTCATGGGTCCATGTGCATGGAGAACTTTGAAGAGAGCCCTATACCTGAACTTGGAATCCTTCAACCTAGTAATTCCTAGGATTTCCCAGAATATACTTTGGGGGATAATGGAAAGGGGTTTGAAACAGGTGTTTTTCAGATATAGAGGGAACTCAAACTTGGTTAGAACTAGTTATCAAAACGGTCTCTCTATAATTAAAAAAAGCATGTAAATGAGTGACTCCAATAAGGCAACTAGAAGGAATGAGTAAATAATTCAAGATAAAGGATTTGGGGACTATGACAGGGATCTATTTCCTCAATATACATGTATCTCTTCTTCCCAGGGGAAGAACTTTTAACTACTGTACACCTTAAATTTATTAATTTTTAATTTTTAACTATTTTTAGTTAAACTTTTAACGATTGGACACCTTAAATTTATACAATGTTATATACAAAATATATTCCAATTTAAAAATTTAGCTAGACTTCACCCAGAGTAAAAATCCCATTGTCCAGCCTCTCTTATAATCAGGTGTGGCTATGTGTCTAAGTTCTGGCCTTACATGGGAAAGCAAATTGTCACATGGCAGTTTCCAGAAGCCTTAAGAAACAGCTAGGGTATGCCATATGTCTCTCTTCTTTGGCTACTCCTTCATTTGTTGCTTGGAACAGGAAGTTACCGTTTTGGTCTGTGAGGTCATAGCTACAATCGTAGGGAAGGTAGAGTGATAAGCTTGAAGAAGCCTGGGTGGGGGGCAGAACTGCCAAACCAACCACGGACTACTTACCTCCAGTCTATCTTATATGAGCCACAGTCATTCTGAATGTCACAGCCAAATCTAATTCAAATTAACACAGGGAGGACTGCTGGGTGGTCTTATTCCTTGTGATAATGTAAAAATTCAGGGATAACTTCTGTTCATTTAGAGCAGTTCAGTCAGCTGGCTGCCATCTGACTCAGAACAGAGTAGTGGTCTTTTGAAAATACACACTGGGTTGTATAACTGAAGTTATGGCCAAAACAAATGAGCTTCATGACTATTCCCAAAATATGTCTGGTACAGTCTCCATGAAATGTAAGACAGGAAGCAAAGCAGCAGGTTCCATGTGCCTTCCCCATGACATATCTCCAAGGGATGTCCACTGGGGACCCTGAGGCTTTCCTTTGCAATCCTGATAGAGGGATGCTCTTGTGTGGGGTAGAGAACTTATAATATAAAAGCTATCATATTTGGGGAGGCTATAACCTGGGAAAGGAAGGTAGAAAAGACAACAGGACAAATGTTGGAGAAGAAAGGCATAAGAATAATACAGCCAACAGTGAGAAAGTCCAACAGACGTCTGTAGAAACCAAATGTTAATTAAGATCTCCACACTGGATGGATTTCTCTCTCTCTCTTTTTTTTAAAGATTTATTTATTTGAGAGAGAGAGAGAGTGAAAGAGAGCGCGAGGAAGGGCAGAGAGAGAGAATCTCAAGCAGACTCTGTGCTGAGTATGGAGCCCCACACAGGACTCGATCCCACGACCCTGAGATCATGACCTGAGCCGAAATCAAGAGTTGAACACTCAACCAACTGAGCCACCCAGGAGCCCCTGGATGGATTTGTCTTAAGGGTAACATCTTAGAGATAAAGGGATTTGGAGTCAGAGAAAACATATTTGAGCCTGCTTCCTGACTGTGTGATAATAGGTATACCATTTGACCTCTTCTTGCTTTGGATCCCTTCTGTAGGAGATGGAGAAAATAATACATCATGAAGCAGATGTGAATATCAAATGCATCAACGACTATGAAACCATTTTTATAAACTGCAGAGTGTTCAAAATGTTAGTCTGAATGGCCCTCAATATGCTCTGAAAAAATATCTTTAAGCAGGAGATCTGGCTCTAAGTTGTCCCATCTATGTGTTTGTGTGCAAATCATTCAATGCACAGAACAGAGTAAGGACCCAATATGGATGCTAGAATTCTGGGCTTTTTTTTACTAACCACATATTGATCAATTACCTTGGGCAACTTATAATTCCGAATCTGTTTCCTCATCTGTAAAATGAAAACAATAACGGTTCATAGATCTACTTCAAGGAAAATAAAGTCATCTTATTTATACAAAGAGCCTTGTACGGTATCTGCTATACACGATGCCTTAATGAAGAGTGGTTAATTTAAAAACAGAGTCAGAAAGAAAAACTTAACCTCTTGGGACTGGGGAGCAAATATGGTAATGCAAATGAAATCAATGTAAGTTACAGATAGGACACCTTAGGCCCAAATCTCTGGGCTGTAAGGCCTGTGTATTCTTGAGCATTCTGGATCCATACAAACTAACAGTTTCACAGTCACTAATGTTCACATGTGCCTTATGATACAGGTATGCTTTTCTTCGTTTGACACAACACAGCACCACTCAGAGCAGTACCGGTCATTGTCATTGTTATAAATGTGGGCCTTTGTGGGGCTGGATCCTTGCTTAGCCTCAGTACCTTCCATATTTGGGTCTAGAGCAATATGGGCATAAACCCGAATACTCAGCTAATGAGCTCAGCCCCAAAAGCAATTTCCAGAGGTGAGCACGGCCAACTTCAGTAAGGAACAGACTACAAAGTAACATTGTTATTGATTATTGAAAATTATTATTGAAAATAACAGTTATTAATATTGTTTGCTGAATTTGTGAAAAATAAGTCTTAACTTTTGGAGCCACATCAGTGTTTACATTTATTCCATAAACATTTAAGAATGTTTTAAAATGTATAAAATTTAAAATGTACAAAACATAAAATGTGTAAAATTATTTTACCGTTCTATTAAAATTCACATATTCCCATCTAGGGTACAGTGTTGATAGTCTGTGACTCACGTTTCCTTGCCATAGGAACATGGCAGAAAAAAGAGGTAAACACATCTCTTCGACTACCCTTGGAATCTGCCATTTGGAAGCACTGAGGCCAAGAGGCCGTGCCCCGCAGACCTGCGGCTTGAAAGGGGTCCAAAAACTATGTGCCCCCAGCTGCTGTGCTACTGAAATCCACTGCCATGCTCGCTCTGAGGCTATGCTTCCCACGGGCTGCTCCAAGCCTTTGACCCCAGACACAGGGGGATTAAAGTAGGCCTGTTCCTGGGACACAGGGGCTCCTCTGATGGCTGCCTTTGGCTTGAGGATTCCCTGACACCTTTGGTGAACCTTCCTTAAACTGTCTGGTAGTCTCTAGGTCACTTCTACCTACCTTCCTTCCTCTCTCTGAGTCAGACTTATATCTCCTGATGGTTCTTCCGGCCTTCCCTGGCTGCCTCCCTGTTTTCCCTCCTGGTCAAATAAAATCCTAGCTTCTTCAGTCCTCTCTTGGTACCTGCTTCTTGGAAGACCCCATGTTACCCGAAACGTGATTAGCTAAGATCCACAAGCTCTTTTGCTGTTCCATGCCTTGACCGGCACTCTTTTGAGGTGGTCAGGGCCACAGAAAGTAAGGAGGAAAGGGGGGTGAAGGACTAAGTGGAGAACCAGGCTACATGAAGGCCAGGACCTCTGTTTAGGATGTTCTTTTTGGCAATATTTTAAGTCAGCTGTTGCTTCCTCTCTGAATGCTCCTGTGCTTGTCCCCAAGCAAAAGAAAGAGCTGTGGAGTTCTTGATTCTCTTTCAAATGTAGATGGTTGCATTTCCTTATATTCCTCCTTGCACTCCCAGGAAGAGACAGAGCTCCCTCTCCAGCTCTGCGCAGCCTCTGGCCACGGGAGAAAACCGATCACCAGGCGCCTTCCCCTGCCACTGTGGCCACTGGCACGGGACCTGTGCACACTCGGGCGGTTCTTACCTGGCCTTTGGCTGGGTCTTTTTTGCAGCTGCCTCACTGGCTTTCACTGGCTCAGGAAGCTTTGCAGGAATGGGAGAGTTCTATAGAATTGAAAGGAAACCACAAAAGGACATTGCAGATTTCTTTGTAAATGAATACCAGCATAACTAGGCCAACAGAAATACGTGTCCGGGATTTTCCGGCATGGCTTCCAGGCCCCGATGTCTAGTAGAGGGAAGTGAAGTCAACCAAGGGTAGATCCCGCCAGTCTCAGCCCCCTTCAGGGAGGCACCATATCAGAGAAGAGGACAGAGCAGCCTGAGTCAGGTGCGCTCCTCCTCCGACGCTCCCAACCTTCTGGACCCTTCGTTTCCTACCACACAGCCTGGAGATGGTGTTGAGAACGGAATGGGAAAGAGATGCCTGTAACCTGATAGTTGTATCAGTAAATAGTAAACCCACACTATTTAAGCTATGAGCTAGACCTTACAGAAGTCAGTGCTGACTAGCAGCATGTCCAGCTGGGATTCATTCCGTCTTCTGTCTTGAACGCTGGGAGAAAACCAGAGCCACGAACCATTTGAAATGGTTGCGGCACTGGGACTGTCCCAGTGCATGAGGCACCCGTTGACCCACAAGGCCAGCAGAACTCCTACTCCCTGGATTGTGCACCGGCCACCTGATACAGGGTCCAACTCTGGAGGGAGCACTCCCGTCCCCAACCACAAGACAACGGCTTAGCACTGCTGAGTGAGTACCAAATGGCTTGAGACTCGTGAAGCTGACTTTTAAAAAACCAGTTACCAATCTGAATGCTTCTAATTATACTTCAGGTTATTTAACTTAATGAATGGGAAAGTGGGGCAGCAAAAGAAAAAAAAAGTAATGTTAGGCTCTGTACAGGATTCCTCATTTTAATCTGGAAAGCTGACAAATGGAATACTAGTCATAGTGAATGGTTAGGCTTTTAGGAGGGACCTTCCATTTCCTTCATGTTTCTAGGTGGGGAGAATTTCTGCTAGGATATCTGTCTTAGCTTCTCTTCCTCTCTCCAAGCATTCCTCTCCCAAGGGTGAAGCGTAACTTATTTGATAGGACTGGGAGAACAAAGTGAGCTCACCTGGCTCACCTGTGCCCTTCCTCCTTTGAGAGGCTGTCCCTACAAAATCAGGCGCTCCCTGCTCCGTCATGTGGATCTAATGTTGGGGAGCCTGACTGGTCAAGCTACGTTCTCTGATTCAATCTTTTTTTTTTTTTTTTTTTAATTTATTTGACACAACAGAGATCACAAGTAGGTAGAGAGGCAGGCAGAGAAGGTAGGCAGGCTCCCTGCTGAGCAGAACGCCTAATGCGGGGCTCAATCCCAGGACCCTGGGGTCATTACCTGAGCCGAAGGCAGAGGCTAAACCCACTGAGCCACCCAGGCGCCCCCTCTGATTCAATCTTATTAGTAATACAGTCAACACTCTGAGTTCCATCTGAATGATTCCCATATCTGATTCCAAAAGTGGGAGTCAAAGAGGAGTGTTATTTATTAGTACCTTTAAGCTCCAACAGTGAAATCACGATTGATGTTCACGATTGGGAAAGTTCACGATTGGGAAAACTGGGAAGACAATTTCAGATTAGAACTTACCTATTATGACATGCATTAGTAAAATATTTAAGGGAGCTGGATCACACAGAAAAAATATGCTAAGACTGTAAAAAGGAGGTTTGTAAGCATTGTACTCTGAAAACTGTTGAGTGCAGAGCTTAGGATTACTAAATGTAGAAAACACTCCTATGGCCTGATGTGTATGAGGAGGGTAGCAGGAAAGGAGGGTGAGTTATAGATGGTGGAGAATAGAAGCAGAATCAAGAAAGCTCTGCTGCAGGAAAGGAGAAAAGGGTCAAGGGGCTTATGTTCCAGTAGATATGGGAGCAAATTCAGAGGCCCGCCTCAGGAAAACAGCCTGCCTTACCACTGCTAAGGAAACACAACAGGCACATAGCTCATAGTGAAATGTGGAAATTAACAGGACAGTAGGTTGGTCAATCTTCACCCAAAGTACTCAACTCAATCCCTAGGGATTTTTTTTTTTTTTTTTTTTTTTTTTTTGGTGTAACTGCCTTAGTTTAATCATCAAATTCTATGGGAAGACTGGATTCTCTTTATAGTAGATTTTCTTTTCATAGTTAGCTATTTTTTTCATAGTTAACTATTTTTCATAGTTAGCTTTGCTTGCATGTCCCCTACCACATAAAACAAGGGACATCTATATTCATTAAAAGCTGGTTTACGATCCAGGAATTTTAAATGACAATTTGATAATATTTATTTCCCCCTAAAAAGCACCTTTCACATACCTGTACATTAGGAATTGGGCATTCTTTCTTGAGTAGTTTAAATGAGAAGTAGGACACCTGGTAAATATCCGGCCTTTTATCAGGGTCTGGTTCCAACATATACCCTAAGACAAACATATGTGAACATATTTAATAATACCCTAATACTTATTACATTAGCTAGGAAACATAATTTCTCTGTTATCAATTTTTTTTTCATTTTTATTTCTCTTAAAAGTCAAACAGTGTAATTAGCTCTTTTCCTCCCCTCTCAGAAATCGAAGTTCTAACTTCCCTAAAACTTTTAATATGTACAAGAAAGTAACAAAGTTTCTGAACTGAAACAAAGATACTTGAAGTTCACATTCTGTGGCTTGGACAACAGAGACTCAAGCAAGCTCTCATTATTAAAGTTACCACCTTCATATTCTGGTACCTACGAAGTTATGAGCTTCTGGCTTCCTTATCTTGCTAAACAAATGATTATCTTTGATATTTATAATCAAAACTTTTTTTTCACTTTCTTTCTTTTTTTCTTTCTTTCTTTCTTTTTTTTTAGTAATCTCTACCCCCAACATGGAGCTAGAACTCGTGACCCTGAGGATCAAGAGGCACATGTCCACCAACTGAGCCATCCAAACACCCCTCAAAACTCAAATTTAAAAAAACGGACTTATTACTCCTTTGTTGGAGATATTAGCTGGTTTCCATTCTAAAAGAAATTACAAAATGATAAATATATCTCTACTTTTACATATTCTATAGAACATTTGTTTATTCGCAGATCCTTTAAGCTTCCGCCCTTTCTGAAGCTGGAAAAATCCCCAGGAAAAACATCTTTGTGAAGACACACAAACATATACAAGCATACATACAAACAACAGTGCAAGGCCTTACTGTTGAAGGAACCAAATGAATGGTCTGAAACACTAAGGCTGAAGAGGCTGCAGTCTTGTGAAGGCCTAGCAGAAGAAGCAGGGTTTGGGGGCGCCTGGGTGGCAAAGCTGGTTGAGACTTCAACTCTTGATTTTGCCTCAGGTCATGATTTTAGGGCTGTGAGACTGAGCCCCGTGTCCAGCTCCTGGCTCAGCCGGGGCTCCGCTTGAGATTCTCTCTTCGTTTCCCTCTGCCCAACCCTACCCCCCAGCTCGTGTACTTTCTCTCTCTCTCTCAAATAAAGTGATTTAAAAAAAAAAAAAAAAGAAAGAAAGAAAGAAAAAGCAGTATTTGGGCTTGAAGGCGGGAAAGAATTTAGTCGGTCAGGGGAGAGAGGGAAAAAAGATATTCTTGGTGAAGGAATAGTCTGGGCAAAAATGCACTTGGGTGAAAGGCAAGGGAAGGCCCTGTTGTGAGGAAATGCAGGTGCCAGAGGGACAGAGAGAAATTTCCTTGTCAGAGAACACAGGGAAATAAGGCTGGGTGGGTGGGGTGGAACCAGAGTATGAAGGGTCTTAAATGCCATGCTAAGAATGTGGGCCCTCCTGTGGGACCACGGGCGAACAAGGAAGTTTACTATGGGGACCTGCAAGGGGGGCGCTGTGTAAGACTGATCTCATGGTGAGGCGGCGCTGGACTGACTGACTGAGTGGAGAGGCTAGTGGCCACCCCACCCCTACACGCACACGCTGGCCCCGTGTGTATATACTGTGGTGAGTGATGAGAATAGAGAATGTGATGGCGATAGGAGAGACTCCCAAGAATGAGCACTGCTTAGAAAACGCCTGACTGTACTCTCTTGCCAGTCAAGTCCAAAGAAAACCTAAAGTTTCCATTATCCTAGCTTGAATGGTGACACCACTGATAGAAACTGAAAAAAGAGGGGAATTATGTATCGGGAGTAATTGGGCAAGGACAATAAATTTAATTTTAGACCTGTGACTTTAGGGTGACTGTGGAAACTTCCAGCAGTTTGTAAAGAAATAGGTCAGAGTTTGGGAAAGATGTGATACAGACACTCATGAAGAGTTATTTTTCCTAATATGAATGGCTGTACAAATGTTAAGAAATGTAGTCCCCCCAAATCCTACCATTCTAGCACCAGATCTGGCTATTTCCTATATATCGTTCCAATCTCACTTAGGTAGCTACAGTTCTAGAATAGATATACAGTAGTCCCTCCTTATCTGGGGTGGGGGAGGGGAGAGGGACAAGTTCCGAGACCCCCAGTAGGAGCCTGAAACCGCAGATAGTACGGACTCCGAGAGATACTGTTTTCTCCTGTACATACATACGTATGATAAAGCTCAACTTACAAATTAGGTACAGTATGAGACCAACTAACAATAATAATAAAATAAAGTAATTATAACTATATGCTACAATAAAAGTTAGGGGAATGTGCTCTCTCCCTCTCTCTCAAAACATCTCATCACACTGTACTCACCCTTCTTGTGATGACGTGAAAGCATAAATGCCTGTGTGATGAGATGTCGTGAGGGAATGACACAGGCATGGTGACATAAGGTTAGGCCACTACTGACCCAACTATACATCAGAAGTAGGATCGTCTGCTTCCCAGTGCGGTCAGCGGTGGGTAGCTAAAACCGCAGAAAGCAAATCCGCGGATAAGGAGGGACTACTCTCCTGCTTTACCTCTGAAAACCATCCAACAACCATTAAATGCCACACACTGTCTCTTTAAATCACCCCCCAAAACACACTTTTTGTTTCAGAAACAGAAGAAGAGGATTGATGAAGTTGCCCAGTGGAATGGGTAGTTGTCTAACAGCTCTAACTACGTTACCCTGGGTAAGTTACCTATACTTTCTCAGCTTTGGCTTCTTTGTTTGTATAATGGGGATAATTACATTTACTATATGAGATTTTAAGAATTAAATAAGGAACGAGGAGGCCCTTAACAACTGTCAGATGCTCTACCCATATCTCCTTCTATTTTTTTCAATGCAACCCCACCCGGGACCCAAACGGGGACCCAAACCATCCCAGGACTTATAACCCATCATGGTTAAAATTTAGATGCTAAATCCCCTGACCAATGTGAAACGATGATAAACTATCTCTGCTTCACATTTAAGTACAAGGGCTTGTGCAAAGATTACTCGTTCTACCATCTGGTTAATGAACTGGCACATATGCTCTCTAGGATGATGCAGAAGAGTGGGGCGCCTAAAAATCACTTTAAACCAAGCACCGAGTTTAAATGCTTGTTATCAAAATCCAGTGATTAACCTAAAGAGAGAAAAAAAAAATCTTGTTCCACAGAGTTATACAGTCTTAATTATGTATTCACTCCAGCCAACGCATGGCAATCATTTCAATTAGAGTTGCTTCCAGTTTTGCAAGGATGAATTTCTTATCACTTGATAGGAGTCAGCTGGACTCTTTCATACCGACTGCAAGAGAACAGAGCAGTTCTGTGCCGCTCTGAGCACAGTTGGTATTTCTGCTCAAGTGCAAAAGAGCTTAGATTTCTGGTAAAAAGATCTAAGACTCTAATTAACACTGTTTTATGTCATCTTTGAGTGACCAACCATTACCGGATGACTTATCTTTGCATCCAACCCATCACTCCTGCGATCCAGTCCCTCTGTCCCCCAGTTCATTCCTGGAGATTGGAGGTAAACACATGAAATGAGAAATTTGAAATACTTACTAATTAGGCAGTGCATGTCTTGGGAATATCGAGAGTTATCAGGAATTGTGAAGTTTCCATCACAAATTGCCACCTGACTCTCTCCAAATGGCAAAGTGAAGTAGCATAATTTATACAACAAACATCCGAGAGCCTAAAAAAATAAAGCAGATTTCTACAAGTGGTTTATTTACCATAACTGCCGATGGGTCTACTGAGAGATACTGGCCTTGTCCACATTTACAAGCAGATACAAACACTCTGTACTATTAACCTATCAGAAACTTGAATTTAGAACTCAACACCACTATTCAGCTGCCGACGTACATTATTTTGATCATCATTACCAAACTGTGTTCCAATAAGGAACAAGCATTTCAGCTATTTTGCTCTTAAGAATTAGTAATGCATATATGAAAACCACCTAAATAAAGGGCAGGTCACCTGAATAATTTTCACAGAACTCTAAAGTCATTTCCTTTGACATCCTTCACGAGGCAGTGGCTGGTCACCTGGAGTGAAGAATAACCCTGAGGGTTTGGTAGACAGTGACATGGTACAGTGGCCCTCTCGCTATGGCACTGTCTGCATTAAACTTGGGGGTTTATGGTCAAGACTGCTGGTATCTGAGGTGCAGATAGGTTAGTTGACACCTACCCAAATGTCTGCCTTTGTAGTGATGATTTTGCCACTGTAGAGGTTGACCATTTCTGGTGCTCGATAGGACAGCGTTGTGTATCTACAATCAAGAGATTAGTTTTTTGTTAATATGTCAATGCTATAATTAAAAACCAGGGGTAGCAGAAATAACTTTTTTTTTTCCATTTTAAGTATTTTTTTCCATTTTATTTTATTTCTCTTCAGTGTTCCAACATTCATTGTTTATGCACCACACCCAGAAATAACTTTTTAAAAACATATACATTAAATTTAAAAAGTCTAGTTCCCTGGGAGCAATCCGCAGAAGAGAGCATGAAATACCAGTGCAGATAAAATGAAAAGCTGTCCTTGGTCTATCCCCATGGCCCTCTAGAAGCAGTCCTTCTATCTGAGAGCATGAGGAGACCCAGACACTGAGGCACGTCAATAAACACTAAAAGCAACTCTTCTTGGGTCCTCCAATGATAAAATATCCTGCAAATCCTTGTTGTCTGATAGTGTATTTACACTGTATTCTCTGATTTGTTTTTAAAAACAGCAATTCCCCTAGATTTGGCTCAACTCAGACATATCATACAGGCTGAGACACTGGAGAAGGGCAGAACAGGGCGGAAGGTGGCTGGTCTCTGCTGCTAGAAGAGGGATGAAGCAACAGTCCTCCTCTTATCTCCGGCTCAAGTAAAGACAGTATAAGCTCAGCTTCAAAGCGAGTGTCTTGATGTTACCAAGCACATGACTACGCTGCTCAAGTCTCCAAAGTCCAGAGGGCACCATGGTTCAGCTGTCCACCAGCACCATGGACCAAAGTCTTCCTGCCCCAGCTTGGCTGCTGGGGAAGAAGCAGGAAAGGAGACTGAGGATCAGGACAGAGGTAGGTGGACGAGACTGCTGGTTTATTATTGGTATTAGTGGGTATTGTTGCCTGTGAAAAACCTAATACTCTGGACAAGAAGGGGAAGATGGTTCAGGTTCTTACTGGAGCCAGAAATCTAAAGATGCTTTTTCTCATCCAACTCAGTGATTCGGTATCTGTAGAGACTTCATAGCCCTACTTACCATTAACTCCACCAGACTGGTGGGCTCCTTATGAGCAAGAAGGAGTACACAGCAATGCAGGCTTCAGTGGAAAGCATATCCAACTGACTGATAATGTCCCAGCTGTTGTGATTCCACTTGAAAACATCACAGTCCTTCTACAGTTTGTGTACCATGCAGCTTTTTAAGGACTATGTGACAGAAGTCAAAATATGTATATACAGTGATCACTGGGCCACTGATAAAGTACTGTATGATTCCTTCATTTTACTCTACTGATAAATGCTTATGGATCCCTTCCTCATTCTCCACTTATAATCAAACACCCCAACTGCCAACATGATGCCCTGAGACAAGGGGCACCATGACCAGCACCATGGTCTTCCCACCCTGACCTTTTCATAAGCTCAAAGTACAGGTGCAGATCTGGTCATGGACAAAACTCCAAGAAAGGAGGAAAAGCTTACTTCTTAATCTCGTCTTCTACTGCATTGACTCCCTCAGTTTGTGGATTCTGGAATTTGTTGGTGGCGCTTCCAAAGTCACACAGGACGTAGTGGCCTCGGTCGTGCAAGAGAATATTTTCAACCTGAAAAACATTTCCCAACCACCCATTCCAAAATATTATTTAGTGATGCATATGAAAATCTGGTTCAGAGTCATATAAATATTTTACAGCTGATAATCCTATTAATATACACAGGAAAGTTATTCCCCTCCAAGTATCTCGAGAGGGGTCATCCCAAGTGAACAAAAAAGCAAAGCGTAGTAACAGGGTGAAATGACAATAGAGGGGGCAAACTGAGGAATTCCACAATGCGGAAGCAAGAGTCCCATGTTCCTAGATTTCCAGCCCCATTTCTCACCTCTGCAGAAATAGTCCTAATACTTTTTTCTTTTTTTTTTTTTAAGATTTTATTTATTTATTTGACAGACAGAAATCACAAGTAGACAGAGAGGCAGGCAGTGGGGGCGGGGAAGCAGGCTCCCTGCTGAACAGAGAGCCCAATGTGGGGTTCAATCCCAGGACCCTGGGATCATGACCTGATCCGAAGGCAGAGGCTTAACCCACTGAGCCACCCAGGCACCCCTAGTCCAAATACTTTCAAGCCTGTGTATCTTTCCTCATGTTCTTCTTTCAGGCTAGAATGTTCTCTGTGATCCCACCTTCTTACCCAACTATCAATATCCCATTCATCTTTCCAAATCCAGTTCAAATGGCACCTCATGTTTGAAGCCTTCCTCAAGGACCCACTGAGACAAATGTCACTCCTCCCCCACAGTGCTTCAGCACTTCGTTCTTCCTGATGTCATTATTTCACTGGGCCTTATCCATGCATTATCAATTTCTTTACCACACTACATTAGGATTTCTGGAATAATAAATATTTGCTATATTTTAGATACTTCTCAAAGTGATTAAAGGCCTGTGGGCAAATGTGCAGTTTTCCTATTAAAGTATTATCTTTTATAGATGAATTATTTGGACAGTGAGTTAGCAGTTCCAAGTAGAAGGGTCCTTTACAAATACCAGAATCTCCAGAAATCTCTGGCATCAAAGGACTATGCCAATGAAAGAATAACTTCAAGATGGTGGGCGCTTCTGTACTCAAGATGTAGTGAGTAACTGTTCGTATAGGTGAACTGAGCTGACTGGTGTGTTGGAGAACAGACCTGGCTCATGTGGGCAGTAAAATGGCAGCCAAAACATCTTGTTGGGCCAGCAAGTCTGTCTGTAGTCTCCATTGTCTTTTGTTCCCAGCCTTCCAAAGACTGATCACCTTTAGAAAACAAAGGCAAGAGTAGACTACAAGCTCCTTCAAGACAAGCACCATCTCTCTCTCTTTTTTTTAAAGATTTTATTTATTTATTTATTTATTTATTTGACAGGCAGAGATCCCAAGTTGGCAGAGAGACAGGCAGAGAGAGGAGGAAGCAGGCTCCCTGCCGAGCAGAGAGCCTGATGTGGGGCTCGATCCCAGGACCCTGAGATCATGACCTGAGCCAAAGGCAGAGGCTCAACACACTGAGCCACCCAGGTGCCCCAAGACAAGAACCATCTCTTAATCCTGTTTGTAGTCTTCTCTACCAGGGCCTAACATAGTGCTTGCTATAGAAAATGCTGGTTGAATGGAATAAGCTAAAAAATAGAAACACACTTAACACCGTGTTTGTGTGTGTGTCCGTCTGTCAGAAGCGAGACAGAAAGCCACCAAATGCCTGGGCCATACTACTACGACTCTTCCTTTAAAAAAAAAAAAAAAATGGTCAATTGTGAAAGTCTCTTGTTCCTATACTTGTTTCTATACTTGCTTTAGTTCTTCTGAAAATTACATTATATATTAAAAAAATGTTCACTGTATATTCTGTATCAGCTAAATCTACTACCTAAAGCCTTTGCTGTAAACTGATTCTTTTGTTTATTGTTTATTACTCCTACTGAGTCTCCGGCGTGTGTTGTTATCAGGGGTTTTGTTATGGTTACTGTTAACTCACTGTTCCTTGGAATTCATCTGTGGGAAGCCTTGGAGGCCTAGGTTTAAAATCTCTTTTTCTTCCTGAGAGATACTCTTTTGCACCTGGGGTACCATTAACCTATAATCACTTGAATCTAGAATCTTGACCTAGGGATTTTTAGCCACATAGGCAGGGTGAACTATGGCCACCAGCTCTCATGGATATGCTCTTGGTCCCCAGAGACAAGGCTGAGGCAAGCAAATATTTCATCTATAGCTTTTTATAAAGCTCATCAGTTTAACTTATTTACACAAAGTGACACACTCAAGTTATCCTGAACATATACTCACTTTAAGAATCTAAAATAATTCCAACAAAGCAATACTAACACTTGCAATCTAATTCCAAGGTTATAGACAGATTGGCTACCACTTACTGAGATTTTACTATTATGAGTATTACTGTGCTCAGCACCTCACATGAGATTATCCTCCTAATAATATAATAATATCCCTGTTTTACAGATGCAGAGGGTGAGGCTCCCAGTGATGAAGCTGGGTAGTAAACTTAGGCAATTTAATTCTAGAGAAAGGTAATTAATTACTTTTCTGCAGGGGCAGGAAGCAAGTTAGAAGTGGAGTGTTATTCAGGGTCCTCAGCCATAATACCCTTCAACTGTGCTGGGTGTTGAGTATGCCCAGTGTACTGGAGACATGCTTAAGGACGGGGCTGCCTTAGTCCCTTACGTTCAGAAATGCCCCATAATAGGAATCTGGTCGATGAGGAACCAGGTGACTAATTACTAGCCAGGCTGCTTTGCTCAGTGTCTCTTAAGCATTCCCTGCATTGCCTGCTTTGTTATTTTATTCAACTGCTCCATTTGTCAAATCGTAGCCATTTTATGAGGCCTTGCTCGAGTTCTAACTCCTCAGTACAATCTTCCACGGCCAGGCTATAAAATCTGTAGAACCTAACTGTCCACGAGGGGTTGCTAAAGGGGTTGCTGAAGGAAGACGTTCAGACCAAGTTAAGCCACGCCCATTTGTTACTTATCCCGTAGTCCATGGTTGCTGCATTTGAGCTCCATTGGAGAGCCGAGCCGTTGTGACAGACAATACGGCTGATAAGCCTAAAATATTTACTATCCAGTCCCTGGCAGGAAAGTTTGTCAACCCCTGTCTATAATTATACTATGCCCATGTGTGTACTACAATACCCAGGTAGGATTTCACATGCCACATACCCCTCGATCCCTTACTCAGTATCTGTTAGTAGCAATCTTCCTTCCCCGCATCACACGAAACACGCATCTCCTACTGTACATGCACTGCCCTTTCAAAATTACTGTCTATACTGCCAACGCTAGAATGTATAATCTAGGAGACCAAGAAGTTAACTCACTTCAAAACACAAACAAGGTAGTTCCAGGGACCAAAATCTCTGGGTTAGAGGGAGGAGGAAAACCAAGCAAAGACAGAATGATGATGAGGCACACTGGAGTTTTTGTTCTGTTTTTATTTCCCCCCAACCACCACCTTTAAAAACTAGGTTTGTGTTTCTGGTTAGAACTCTGGTTCTGAGTGGCAGAACTCAGCATTACACTCTATCAACCTGGTCCCCACCTCAGCTTGCCTCCTTCCCATAAAGATAACATCACACAAACCTATGTTTGCAGAAAAAACAGTTAAAAATGAAGGGTGTGCACAAAAGTGGACACAAAGCCAAAACTATCAACGTAGGGAAAAGCCTTATCAATATCGGAGAAATGCTAAGGCAGGGATGCCTGGGTGGCTCATGCTGTTAAGTGTCTGCCTTCAGCTCAGGTCATGATGCCAGCGTCCGGGGATTGAGCCCCGCATCGGGCTCCCTGCTCTGTGAGGTGTCTGCTTCTCCCCCTCCCTCTGACCCTCACCCTGCTCTTGTGCTCTCTCTCACTCTCTCTCTCTCTCTCTCAATAAATAAATAAATTTTTTTTTTAAAAAGAAAGAAATGCTAATGCAGGTAAGAATGGTAAAGGTCCGCTCTGGCCGCTTTGCCAGCTTGCTGGGAGGGTCATGAGGTGGCAAAGGTGAACTCACTTGGCAGCGGCCACCACACCAGCTGCCGCACCCTCTGCACGTTCTCAGTCTGACCCTGTGACTTGGGAAACCTGCAAAAACCTCCAAGGTCAAGCTGGCCACTGCCCTTCGTCACCAGCACCACCACCAACAACAACACACTGGACACAGAGCCTGGCATGTGACAACCACACTAGACTTGGAGGTCACAGGACCTCAGGGAATAATCAGATGTCTGACCTCAGACAAACCTTTAAGCCTTGTCAGACTTGTTTCTCACCGGCAAAGTCAAGCTAATAATATTTCTATCGCTGCTGTTATGAAGCAAGTAGGAGACTGTGCCTGAAAGCAAACTGTAAATCTCACTCTATAAGCCTAAGAAGTTATGACCACTCATTTAATAGAGAAACACACACACATTCCAACTCCTACTATATGCCGAGGAGGTTCTGGGGGTAAGGCTGTGAACAAATCAAGGTTCACCTGCTCACAGAGCTTAGAGTCCAGCGGGAGAGAATAAGAAAGTACGTGTAATTGCCAGGTGGTGATAAATGTTATGGGGAAAACCCCCACAGGTTAAACACATGTGAAGTGAAGGGGGACACTACTGCAAACAGCACATTCGGAAAGGTCACCTCGAAGAGGTGAGCAGAGACACCTGAATGGAGGGAGAGGGTGTGGACCACCCGGGAGAGGAGGTGGCTCCCGGAGGACAGTCCGCAGGACGGCGCTGAGATGGCAGCAGGCTTGAGGCACCTAAGGCGCACAGACATGCCACCATGGCTGGGACAGCACTGTGCTGGGCACTGGAGTTACAAAGAACACCGAAGACACGGGGGCTGGAAGGTCTCCGGATAGTGACCTTAGGCATGGGGAGACCAGATAAAGCCGGGCTTCTGGTTAGTGAAGGACTCAAGTGGCTGAAAGTCGTAATAGAAGCAAAGGCACAGAGACAAGAATGACACAACTAACAAGACAAGTAACAACACAACTAACAACACCCCCTATGAGCCACATGATGCGCCCTGCACTTTCACCTACACAATTTCATGAGGACTCTTACAAAGCCTTATTGTCCCGGTTAACAGATGAGAAAACTGAGTCCAGTTACCTAACATGCCTTACACATCACAAGGCTGGTAGGGCAGGATGTGGGCTCGGGCTGCCTGACCACTGAGGCTAACCCTCCCCGCTGCACTGAGGGGCATTATGCAGGTATGGAATGTGGGCAGCTCAGACGGGCAATCTTGGAGGGAGCAGGAGAGACCACCAGAGCAGCTGACAAACAGCAGACTAGGGAAGGCCCCTCGGGAGCCACTCAGCAGCAGATGAAAAGAGGTGTTTGAGAGAGGTTAGCCAGTGAGAGGGGAGAAGGGGGAAAGTGAGAGCAGGTGCCATCGTCCAGGGGGAAGTGACTAAGGTCAGGACTAAAGTAGGGCCCAGAGGGATTCAGTGAGACTAGGAAGGTAGAAAACCAACTGGACCTTTATACATCATCTTCTAGAAGCTCCAGAGAATTTGCAGAGTGACTTTGTTTTTGGCCAAGTCCCTTGAGATGTTAGCCTGACACTGGTCACAATCCTAAGGTCTTCCAGCTCTTTGCAAGTTTAATAGTACTGACTTTACTTCCCAACCTATTGGCTTAATAGGGTTATTGAAGTCATCACTCCCAAACTCTGCTCACAGCTTTAGCTAGAAGGTCTGGAAAGCCCCCTCCTACTGACCCTTCATTTTGACATTATTCCAAGCAGATAAGGCATTCAGGCATTTCAGTCACAGAATTTATTACCACTAGAAATTCTGGAGAATTTGATAAACGTAGGGTTTCAAACTTATGATTCTAAAAATGGGTAAGAATCTTCATCCTACTGTACTTCATGAAATCAAAATCTCTTTTCTGACAAAAGAGGAGACATTCATGATTTTTTCAGTCTGAATGCACTTATTAAACCTTAGCCCTTTCTTCCCCTTTCTTAAGTGCCTAGACAAACAGCACAGTATAACAGAGCAAAACCAACCAAATAAAAACCAAGATGGGAGTAAAAGACCCGTGGCCTTTGCTCTGGTTTGATCACAGAATTAGCTGTGCAGGTGACAGCCTTTGTGGGCAGAGGCTTCCTCACTGGTAACAGGAGAAGGCTGGCTTAGGTAACCTTCCCAGCTCTATGAACCCATGATCTGCAGTGATCTCTTTATTTCCTCAGAGAGGGAAAGATTAAAACAAAACAAAACAGTGAAGTGATGAAAATGTTAAAATAATGTATTTGAGGAAAGACCTCCAATGAAGAACAGAGCTTCTATCATGCTATTTTTAGAATGTGAGCTGCTTAAGGACGGGGACCACTTTCAACTTACTTCCTACACAGACACTGAAGGAGAGACCGCACGTGTGGTGGGAAGGACTCGCCTCAGTTCTGGATGGGAATAATGAACCCCCACGCAGGGCAGCCCAACAAGGGGATCCACAGCTGGCCTGGCCTGTGCTCTTTTTCATGTCCTACTGACTTGTATTTTAGCAGAAATCAACAAAATCTCACTTGCTAATGAAAGCGGCTAAATGGCATGGAGTGGAGGATATATGGAATTTGGGAAAGCTTCCATCAAAACAACCAGGAGTCAATGACTAAAATCAACAGCAGGCAGGACTCTTCTGGAACAATTACAACCGGGGCCTCCTCCCAGGGGGCCCCTATTTACATTCAACTATTTCCAAGGTAGAGGAGAAATGGCAAGTCTCTGGAGCTACGGGTGCCCACCTGGTGGTCCCCACTACGGATTCAGACACAACTACAGAGTCCAATACTGTGTCGTCAGCACAGTATATGCTGTGTATATGTGTGTATGTGACTATATAATTGGTATATGTGTATATGCTGTGTATATGTGACTATATAATTGGAAAGGCCTGGTACAAGGAGAGAGTAATTAGCAGAATTAGCCAGCTCTCAGGAGCACCAAGGAGGGCTGAGGGGCACAGGGCCGGGGGCAAGCTGAGGAACAGAACACAGCAGCCTCTCCTCTGATTCCCCTCTAGCCACGTGCCTCTGCTAACATATGTCACAGACTGTTCGGTGCAATGAAGAAAGAGTCTGGGGTTCCCGCTGCCTGAGCCCAAGCACTGTCCTACCCCGTGTCCCCGGGCTAGACCTTGAGCTCCATACTTCTGGCTCCCGTCACTGACTCGCAGCAGCACTGTGAGCACCACAGGGCACTGCCATGCTGGGAGTATGTAAATTAGGGAGATTTTATCGACAGGTATGCCATGACTCACCAATGAGGCCTCATTTAATCCAGTTCCAATAAAAGATTTTGTTTAAGAACATGGGAACAGCACTCTCTACAAGGATGCTCAGGGGTCGCCTCTGCCTCCTCCTCTTGCCCTTACCTCTATGCCCCATCAGCCTACTGTGCCAGGGGTGTTCCTAGAGAGGGACATGCATGCTCTTAAGCCTCTTTGTCCCCTTCTCTAGGAAGCCCGCGGGCTCTGCTCTCTGCCTAAAATGTCCTTCATCCTCTCCACGACCATGCATATCCCACCAGCCTGTGAAGTGCCACTCTCTGACCACACAGTAAGCAGCTCGATTCTCCACTGTTCCGCACTTTGTTTTAGAACCTTTGTACGTCACCTGTCTCTGTTTCAAATCTAAACATTTCATTTACATCCTCTCACCAACACTTCAAACATCTTGGGGGTAGGAACCACATTCTACCTGTACCACCTCCACGGAATTATGTACTTGTACCATGCTAGGTTCATAATAATTACTGAAACGTATTCTCCTTTTTCTACTCAGAAACAGGGCTGACTGCAGAAGGTCACTGGAGAAGGCCAGCTAAGGCTTCTGAAGGTATGTACTACCTTCCCGTCAGCTAACTGCTTTAGTACAGAAATGCCAACATGCATGTACCACTTTACACCGATGGGGCTGGCTGAAATAAAAATGACGAGAAGAGCTGTGAGGATGTGGAGAAACTGGAACCCTCGTGTATTGCTGCTGGGATGTGAAATAGTACAGCCACTCTGGAAAACAGTTTGGCCATTCCTCTGAAAGTTAACTGCGGTTACTAAATGACCCAACAATTACACCCCTAGATGTACACACAAGAAAACTGAAAACATACACCCACTTAAAACTAGCACACAGATGTTCATACTACCTGAAGTAGAAACAATTCAAATGTCCATCCACTGAGGACTAGATGAACGGGATGTGGTCTCGCCACACTATGACGATCATGCCATGAAAACGAATGAGGTACCGTTGCATATTGCAACACAGATGAACTCTGACACCACGGTTAGGTGAAAGAAGTCAGATGTAAGAGGCCACTTACTGTATGAGCCATTTATGTGACACGCGCAGACCGGGCAACAAAGCAAATTAGCGGTTGCCCAGGGGTGCGGGGTGAGAGGTGGGAATGAAGAGTGATTGCTGATGGATACAGGGTTTCCTTTGGGGAGATGAAATGTTTTAGAATTAGATGATGGTGATGGTTGTACAGCCTTGTAAACAGAGTAAAAGCCACTAAATTGTATACTTTAAAAGGGTGAATTTTATGGTTATGAATTATATCTGAATTTTTTAAAAAACAAAAAACAAAACTAAAAACCTTGACACAGAAATGCTAGTAGGCTGCTATGATCCTCAGACTTGAGAATATACAAAACCCACAAGGGGTGATTATTAAGCTCTAAATTCCTAGGCTTCCCTGACACCGCCACACAAGTTATGGCCCAACGGGTTCCGTGTGGAATCCGGTAGCCTGCATTTAACAAGCACACTAGGGGATGCTGATCCCAGTTACGAGCCATGAAGCAGGTTTCTCAAAACACAGGTGTGTAATGAAAAGAAACTGTAATTTAGAATCAGAAGAACAGGATTCACTTTCGGAACCTGCTCCTTTCTGGTTATATGACCTCAGTCAAGTCACATAACTGATCTACTCCTGAGTTGCCCTAACTATAAACGTAAAGAAGAACATCTTCCTCCAACAGCGTGTGTGTGTGTGTGAAGTGTCTGGTAGTATACACGGCACACAGTTGGTGTGCCATACACGCTGGTGAATCCCAGCCAGGTGCCAAGTCCATTCGACAAACATTGTCAAGTGACAATAATCAGAAAAGCCCCGTACAAGGAGGTAGTAATTAGCAGAACAAATTTTTAAAATAATCACTTACTGGATTTTGCAAAATATGAAACAGACATTAAAAACCAAGCATCAGGACGCCTGGGTGGCTCAGTTGGTTAAACAGCTGCCTTCAGCTCAGGTCATGATCCCAGTGTCCTGGGATCGAGTCCTACATCGGGCTCCTTGCTCAGCAAGGAGCCTGCTTCTCCCTCTGCCTCTGCCTGCCACTCTGTCTGCCTGTGCTCACTCTCTCTCTCTCTCTCTCTCTGATAAATAAATAAATACATAATCTTTAAAAAAAACAAACAAAAAAAACAAGCATCACTGTTTGCAAACTATTGAAATTAGTCTATCATTTTCCATGCCCCTGACCGTAAATTTGGGACTCCATCAGGAAAAACAAAAACAACATGTATTTAGTCAGTTGATGACTATAAAGGATTTCTAAAGGCTACTTGGGTAATAAAAGCCATACCTGTACCCTACTTTCTTTTTTTTTTCTTTGTATCTTCTCTTACCAAGCAGAACGGAAGAAATAGGAGGTTACCACGCATGTTCTGTCACATCCCCCAAGTGTCTCCCCGTTCCCCAGGCCTATGGGAAATAGCCTGTAGAAAGGCACTTAAGCAAACAGTGGGACCGTTACCTTCAGGTCACGGTGGATGATAGGAGTCTTGCACTGATGCAGGCGGGCAACGGCTTCGCAGGTGTCACAAAATATCTGGAGCACTTCATTCTCTGTAAAACCTGTTTGCAGGCGCTGGTTCATCAGGTTGACCACCTGGCCTCCTGTGAGGGGGCATAGAGCAAGCCGGGAGGTTAGCAACATTCTGATTCACCACTCACCCAAGACAATGAACAGGCTGTCCACAGAAGAGCGACCTGGACAAAGGTCACTGGCTGAGCCATGACTGCAACCCAAGTGTCTTGATTCCCAGACCCAGATTCATCTTCTTACAATCCAGGGCCTCCTCTGATGCAGCAAAACCCATTTATTTTATAAAGTACTCCAGATGTGAGCTGACTTCGCGACATCTTGAAGATCAGTAGACCTGATGGTCTGGTCCTGCTCTAGCCACTTGGTTACTCTGTCCCTGTTTGTATGGGATGAGGCCACAGGTTCAACCTGCTGTATTTAAGAATCAGACTACACAAGAGACCCCAGAAGCAGGAAGAAGACAGCTTTCTGGTCTGTAGTTTAGGAATGGCTTGGTCTCTCTAGCCTCACTCACTACTTGCTGCCGAAAATGAAGAAATACTCCACCAATATTTCATCTCCAGGACCAGAAGACTGATGACCTCACTTACAAAATTATCCAGATCCCTGGATGCTCCCACTGCCTTGTCTCGAAACATTTTACCATCCAAAAAAGAATGGACAGGAGGAAACAAACAGCCAAGTTCAAATTTGGTAGTATCTTATAAAATTGGCTTAGGGTTATTAGAGAATTGGCTGAAATTATCAGTTAACATTACGTTTTGGGGATTAACCACATATTTAATTTATGGACAGTATCTTTAAAGGCAAGGAAAATTCAGTGGAAGTACGGATGATTATAAAACAGGGCACCAAACAGTGAGGCAGTGACCCAAGCTTGTAAGTGGCAGTTGCTCAAGCCACAAGAGCCAGACCTCCAAACTTGTTGTATGAAAGGCAGTCAACTCTGAATCAAGTCATGCTACAGTCTGTACGTCCCAAGATAAAGGCTGCTTGAAACTCCAAGCTTTCAACTACTTAACTCCACTGTTCACAGCAGCATCGTTTGAGTATAGCCTTACTGGCAATTACAGCTTGCAAGAAAGGAGAGGAAAGGTCATTTCCATTAGACGAAAAGAATTATTTTCCCCCATAACACAAGGACGGGGGTGTGGGTGGAGAAGAGAACACATGAGGGAGGGAGTGGGGAGGCTAAATCCTTTCTTCGGTCCATCTGGAGTTGGGACTTTATTATGTGCCTTCATTGCTTGTTTTAAAGCATCACAGATAACATATTCCTCCTCACCCTCATACATTCTCATTCACATACAAGCACCAAACCTGCCTAAAGCTAACAAAAGAGGAGTTTTGTATTATCAACCACTTCAAATCGTTTGCCATAAGAATAACCAAGAGGTGACAGCAGGCTCTGTATCTTTCAGTCTCACAGTCTGCACACCTTTAAAACCACAACAACAGACATTAGGGCACAGAGCACATTCACTGAAATGACCCCCGTGCCCTTGACAATCAAAGTGCCAGACAATGGGAGCTCAAGGTCTGGGTTATACACTTACCCCTACAGAAGTCCATCAGAATGAGTACTTCCCACACATCCCCGCTGCTCACGTTGTTGATACTGGAGTCAATGTAACCGACAATGTTCTTGTGCCCCGACAGGTCTCTCTAGAAAGAAGAGTTGAGAAATACAGTATTAGATACAGACACCAGTAGGGACAGAGGGAGCGCGCGGTTCCATTAGCACAGATAATTTAAACAGATAACCTTAACAGCAGTGAAAGGTAAGACTGCAGAGGAGGGTTAAGAGCAGGTTTCCAGTGGTCTCTGAGATTCATGGCCAGCTCTTCAGTCAACAGTTCTATAGCCCTACTAAAGCACAACACGCTCCTGAACGAGATTCTGGAAGCAGATGCACACAGGGTGCCTATGTGCTTGTTCTATCAGTGCTCCCTGTAAGTCAGGAGCAAAGACGCCCATCTCCAGAAGTACTGCAAAGAGTACGAGCCAGACAGTATGAATTATTTAAACATGTGAATTTTTAATTCAGAAAAAAGAAACTGGTGGGGGTTTTTTTCCTGGCTGTAGGTAGACAAGTGGATTCAACATGACTTTTAAATTGTTTGTACTGTTTTCCTCCCTTTAGGAAATGTATGAAAAGAATAACCGCTTTACAACATTTTGAATGGCCTATGGTGGCATCCCAACCTAAACATTTTGCTCATAATTAAGCCTTTCAAGTCCACCAAATGGAATATAAGATGGGTCCTGTTTCTAGCTCTCTGGTTGGAACTGCATATGCTCTCTCCGGGTTGCTTATGGAATTCACTGAGCCAGCAAATGTTGACGGAGCACCTCCTGTGTGTCAGGACCCATTCAGGCACCAGAGGCTGCCTCACACCTTGCTATCATTCTTTCAGCATCCCTAGAGGCAAATCTTTGTAACGATGATGTTTAAAATCCAATGTCATTAAGAAGTAAGTCGGGGAAAGAAAAAGTGAGCAAGCTGAGGAGAAGGATTTTTGCACAAATTCAAGATTAAAAAAAACCCCATAAAACTAGTTTTAATAAATTGTTTGGTTTAAAAAAGTGGGAGGATAGTGGAAATGTAAGTGGTTGAGTCACCAGACAAACATGACAGTTCAGGCCATAAAAACAGTAACTACCACTACAAAAACTGGAGATTTGGTTGCTTAGAGTGACGTATAAAGTCTCTTTTAATCTAAAATTATATACCAATATAATGGTATCGCATGAATATACCTGAACCCTGAGCATCAAAGTTAAAATTCATTAGAATTTTCCTCTGAGTGAGGGAGTGAGAACGACTGCTGCTTCAGAAAGGTAGACAAAAATAGAAATGGGACGGCTGGAACTGACAGTGGGAAGTCACTGGAGCCCGATACAAGAACAGTTTCAGAGAAGGGATGGGATGGGGGGAGGGAGAAATGGACTTGCAAAGAGTTGAGCATGTAAGAGCTGGCGAGTATAGATGAGTCTTCTGGAACATTTTGTGCTCCAGAGAGGAACAGCATTGCCAGAAGGAATTCTCAGGATGAGAGAGAACTGAGCATGGGAGAGTGTAAGGAGCCAGGAGCAGAAACTTCAGCATAGAGGAGAGGACAAAGGATAACTGAAGGAACCTATGCCTGCAGGAAGAGGGGGCGGGGACTGAGGGCACCATTAAAGGGACAGGTCTTAGAAAGAGGAGCAGGAAGGAATCGAAAATGGATATGCATATTGGTTTACAGCTGGAGAAGGGGAACTTTAGTGAGTTCAGTTCTATTGTTCTGTTTTTGGTAGAGAGCAAGACCACGTTTGCAGTATAAGGGAATGAGAAAGCAGCTTGATGAGAGAAATAAAAGGCTTTGAGCAACTACTTTGGATGACAGACAAAGGAGATGATGAGGCAGAAAAAGCCGTCTCTCTCTCGAGTTCTGCACAACAGAACGTGATTTCAGGGTTCATGTTGTAGAGCCCCATTCTTCCTCCTGCTTTTTACTCTCATCATCAAGTCTTCAAAAACTTGATTTCATTTACACAGTCGAGGAAGGAGGAAGAACTGGAGAGGAGTTCTGAAGCCAAAATAGAGCAGAAGATCATGTTCTCCAAATGTTCACAGGAGGAATGAAAGACTAATGTTTCCACATTAGTAATTTGTCTACATTTAACTGTTTGAAAAAGAATCTGCAATGCCACCTCTGATTTGCCTCACCCCAAGAGGAATAATAAAGACGCAGGGGGCGGGGAAGCATTTGGTAGAGCCAAGAGGAGGTCAAGAGCTATTAGAGGACCCAAACTGGATAATGAACATCTGCAGATGGCATCCTAGAACAGTGGCCAAGCTGTTTGCTGATCAGTTCAAGTCCAAATTCCCGTTCATTTTGTCTTCTGCAGAGTTCCTGAGAGATGACCAAGCAGAAAAGATTTCCTCTTCGGATGGAGCCCATGGCACTCACTTTTAACGACCTGATAATGCAGCAACATCTCAGATTTTAGAGTAACATCTCACTAGTCTGCAACGGAGAGAGAAGATCGATTTGAACGGCTGTGAAATGCAGAGAAGACCAAGAGGAAAACTTACTGCAAAGGGAAACTGACTCACATAGAGGGTGCCCTGCCCTGTTCGTAGCACCAATAGGCCAAAGGAGACCCAAGTATTCCCTGGCTTTGGTTAAAAGCCCAGTTCCAGACTTGGAGAACAGAAATGGACACAGAGGTATGGGACAGCACTCACACGGTTTGGGAGCTCAATTCCTCAGGAAAAGGCAGGATATAATAAGGAGGATGCCTTGATGCCCTTGGCTACAACTCTTATTTAGGGTACATGGAGATAAAAATCTGTATTTTTGAGTGTAAGTCAAAGCGTGATTTTAAGGGGAGTGGGAAAAGTTCAGTTAAATTATTGATCAGATCAGTTTATATTACATGATTTAAACAGTGGTAAGTCTAAGGAATGTGTATTGTCCTTTTTAAACTTTATATTTAGATTACCATTACAGAAGACTAATAAAGTACTGACATAAACATGCTATTAGAAGACCTGCTTTATTAAGTAGATTTTTAAATGATTTGTAGTGGCCTTATTAATATATTTAACTGTTTGAGGTGCTAAAAAACTTTCTTCATAAATACATGCGAAAACTGCCATTTGAAAATCATGCCTTTAGTTTGCGCAGTGGCAGCATTGTAGTCAATGAGGTTTATCCGAGGCGCGATTATTGCTAATTGAAAATCATGCCTTCAACTCAGATCTTATAGGTTATCACAAATCTCAAGTTTATCTGGGGCCCTAATTAATGATGCTTGTAGCACAAAACAGTATTCTATCCCTATGCTCAAAATTCCTACAGCAAGAGGATTCAATCCCCAAGTAAGTACATCTATAAAAACCTTCATATTAAGTTTAGGAAAACAAAGAAGATAGCATTCTAAAGAGCATATCAGTAACATGCCACTCACCCCCAGACAGTAAAAATGAGTATGGTATATAACTAATTTCCCTATATATTTGCTCAGGTCACCCTTCTTTGGAATGTCAGCATGATATCTGCAAATTCCCAGTACTGATAGAGCTTATATTTGCAAAGATTAAGTTTCCAAAGAGATAATTTACCTGCTTTGACCCTCCATTCAAATATTCAACATTTTCTGCTTTTTATGACTCAGCACTATTCCTACTTCTGGGATCACACCATGGTTCCACAGAGCTTTTAAGCAAATTTCAGCTTCTTTTTAACTTAAAGGTGAAGGAATCCAGTTCTAAGGCCTGAAATTTGTTTATTTCTCCTACTGGATGGCCTTTTTTTTTAAGTTAGTTTTTTTTTTTTTTTTTAAGATTTTATTTATTTATTTGATAGAGAGAGAAATCACAAGTGGGCAGAGAGGCAGGTGGGGGGTGGAGGGGGGAAGCAGGCTCCCTGCTGAGCAGAGAGCCCAATGCAGGGCTCAATCCCAGGACCCTGAGATCTTGATCTGAGCTGAAGGTAGCGGCCTAATCCACTGAGCCACCTAGGCGCCCCCTCCTACTGGATGCTTTTTGCCTTACTTTTCTTTGCTCCTTTTTCCCTCAATCACTCTAAATTTCCTTTATAACTCTCTTCGAGGAGTTATTCACAGGCCCAGTAAAACATCAAGTCCAGTACAGTAATAAAAAGAAACACTTTTTCTTTTTTTTAAGATTTTATTTATTTATTTGACAGAGATCATAGGTAGGCAGAGAGGCAGGCAGAGAGCGAGGAGGAAGCAGGCACTTTGAGATCTAGGCTAGTCCTGGTATTCTATGAAGGCCAAGGTATCTGGACTTCTGCTTACATAAGAAGTCCCAAATATGATTCTTGTCCCCACACTCACATTGACTCTCCCGTTCCTGAGTCTTACTCACTAGTTAATCCTAGTTAGTGAGTAAGAGAATAGTTAGTGAGTTAGTAAATAGATCTTTAAAGTCATCTAAAATCTGATTTTAGAACAGTGCTGCTCAAACTTTAACAGGCATATGAATCACCTGGAGATCTTGTTTAAAAGCAGATTCCAATCCAGTAGCTCTAGGAAAGGGCCCCTAATCCTGCTCCTCAGTGGCACTTAAAGTAGCAAAGATCTAGAACAGTGCCACTCAAAATGTGACCCACAGATATGTGCTGCTTAGTAAACTGTTACCAGTGCAGAAGGAGAGAAGAAGCTTGCTCCAGGACATCAATCAATTTAGTAACTAAGAGGCCTTATTTCTTTTCCTAGTGATATCTTACCTATGAGGAATACAATTCCTTGATTTACATTCTGGAACAACATGCTCTGAATAGCACCCATATGCTTACAGCCAGCTGATTTTTGAAAATGGTGCCCAAAAAAAGATACAATGAGGGAAAAGTAAGTCTTTTTAAAAAATGATGCTGGGACTGTAAGGGCCTATTTAGCCAGAGCGATTCCATCTGGTTGAACAGTGACTTTGTTGTTTAACTGACCCTGCCCCCCCCACCCACCTCCCCCCCTGCCCCCCCCCCCCCCCCCCCGCCCAGGGAACTTACTTAAAAACAAGTCCCGGAAACCAGTCCCAGGTAACAAAGCCCAAATACAAGGGTAGGTCAGGCCAGGTGGAGGTATCCAATCAGTGGGGGCGCATACTGTCTCCCCAGCTACCAAGGAGTATGGGCCCCGCCCTTAGGGCGCCT